TATATATATATATATATATATATATATATCTGACTGCGGCCCGGTAGTTGACTGGTTAGCGCGAGTGCAGAGGTTCAGGGTTCGATTCCGGCTCTGGCCTTCCTGTGTGGAGTTTGCATGTTCTCCCTTTGCCCGTGTGGGTTTTCTCCGGGTACTCCGGTTTCCTCCCAAATTCCAAAAACATGCATGGGAGGTTAATGGAACACTTTAAATTGTCCCGAGATGTGAGTGTGAGCGCAGATGGTTGTTTGTCTATGTGTGCCCTGCGATTGGATGGCAACCGGTTCAGGGTGTACCCCGCCTACGGCCCGAAGACACCCTGGATAGGCTCCAGCACTTCTGGTGGCCTGTCCACCCTTTCTAACTTTCCACTTTTTGTTATAACTTGGACACCTATATAAGTCAAGGTCTATCATGAGTGAACGGGAAGGGAACATTTTGAAGGCAGGAAAGCAGAGCAGAGAAAAAGGTGAAAAAAAAAAACAGAACTGTCTAGTCTAATCAGTCAACCTTAAGGAGTGTTATTGTAGATGCAGAGGAGCGTCAAGAGACAGCTAAAGTGGAAAACGACAGAAATGAAGGTGGCGAAGTTTTTCAGGGAGTGTAAATTTATATCACGATAGGGATCATGACTGTGAAAAGATTCAATTCACACCACGATATGAATTTTAGGCAAGATTGCTCAGCCCTCGGTCTGCATTTGAAGCAAAAACATGAAAAGCTATTTACATATTATTTGATGTACAATGCACATGTAAATTTGTGTCAGGTTTACATTAAAAACAAATATACTTCATACACAGTATTACACATAGTTTACATGTTTATCCTGGATATGTATGACAGCAAGCGGGAGTTAACTATGGAACTATGTTTTATGTTTATCACACCCCCGCTTCTGTAATCTGCTATGATCACGGCAGCACTAGAAAGCAGGTCAGATTAAGGATTAACATCTCAAAAACAGCCTTTTGTCTACATTGATGTGAGAACAAAGCAAATGAAACACAGGCGCTGAAAACAAACACGTCTTTAGCCATATGATTTTTAAATTGTGGCACCTTGGGCTGCTCAGCTCTTGACTTTATAATACATCTGAGGCAGTATTTCTTTTCCTGACAGAGGGATTATTATTATTATTATTATTATTATTATTATTATTATTATTGGTGGCACGGGTGGTCGACTGGTTAGCACAGGCGTCGGCAACCTGCTTATTTTGGTTGCTGCTCTGCGTGGCTTGGGAAATTAAACAAAAAAAAACAAATAAAAGAAAATGAATTGAGAAAAAAAAAGCACACATTGAAAAAGAAGAAACACAACATAAAATCAAAAATTTCAAGCAGAAAACAAAAGAAAATTAATTGCAAACAAATAGCGAAAAACATTACAACGGTCACATTTTCCGACGAGGAAGTGGTTGGGAGGTGGGCGGGGCCAGGGAATCATATTGACAGCTGATTGGACGAGAGGGTAGACTTGATTGGACGTATGCAACGTACATTTATTTTTTTTCTCTTTTTAATTGTTGTTATTTATTTATCTTTTATAACATTTTACGCATTGGTTTGCAAAATGAAAACAAAACGTTCAACGTTGGAGGGCCGGAACACATCCATCTGTCTTTTGGAGAAGCACGAGGAGATCTGTTTTAATCTAATCATCTAATCCTTGCCAGTGAAGCATGCTGCTACGGCGCAAACTGTCCACTTGAGGGTGAGCTATAAGAGCATACTTTCTACACAAACACACACTCTAATTAGATATGTTAAAGAGCGCAAATAAAAACAAACAACTGATGTGTGGCTGACAAATTGTGCACAGTCCCTCTTACAGTCAAAACACGTCCTCCTACACTGTCACTGTCGCTCTGTTCGGAATTAACCACCAATCACATTCAAACTCGTGTTCAAAGGGAGCAAAACAAACACCTGGCACCATTTTTAAAGCCTCTGATGAACCCGAAATAAAGTTCCATCAGTTCTAGAAAGATTTGCTTGATATGTGGGCTCCAGCACACCCGCCACTCTAATGAGCATAAGTGGTAAACAAAATGAATGGATGGACGCAAATGTATAAGCACTGATTTCAACCCAACCAGGGACTCTTATGATGATGACGTGACAAAAAGCCAATTGGGACACGCACTGAAACTGGTGCTGCTGTGGGACACAACAGATGTGCATACAGAAGGACTACAGAACATACACCACAAGGCGATTTTATTTTTTTTTTGTACATATCACAACTATTGGTCTTGCTAGCGTATGACCATTTTTAAAAAATATAATTATGACCCCCAAAACAGTAAACTAGATATTCCGTTGACCTTCCAGAGCCCTCCGGGAGAGCACGCTACAGGATTTTTTTTTTTTTTTTTTTTTTTTATCAGGTCAGGATCAAACAGACACAGAAATGTAAGCACACACACACACACACACACACACACACACACACACACACACACACACGACAAGCTTTCATAGTTCTATTTTAAGCACAGATGAAGTTGAGTGAACTGGAGCAGAGAAAACAAATGCACATTTGCACAAGGAGATACTCATTCACTCACAAGCTCCACACCTCAGCACAGATGAGCTCAGCCTGGAAGTGAATTGCATCGTGAGCCCCTTTGGACAACGGTACGAAAATGTCAGGTCGTTGGATACTGAATTCAGCGAAGTGTGAAGGTTGCCAATATTTCTCGTGAATTTTGACATTTGACAACACCTACTTTGTACGACATGAAAGTGCAAATGACTGCATTCGAAAGAGAAGACACTGATTCTCAAGAATGCTTTACAAATACATCGTACAACTTGAGGAAAATGCCATCACATGATCGATTTACGCGATGAACTTTTTCCACCTTTTGTTTTGGGACTGTTGCCTTATTAAAATTCTACACACAACGCATAACAATGACAGTGAGTTTACGCGATTTATCTTTTTTTTTTTTGGGATGTAATAAGCAATAAAGTTGCAAGAAGTCATCGATGGGCCCGCAGGCCGTCATCCAACTTCAACAGCATGCTAGGCTTAAATTAACTTCACAATTCACGCGTAGCGTATAGTTGAGCAAAAACCCAGTCTCTGTAGGGAGGCTATGCGAGAACAATTCTCAAGTAGGACTGCCACAAACAATTCATCGACGAGTCACCGATAATAGTTGCAATTCGTCGACAAATTGGATCACGTAAATCGCAGGACGTCACACCAGCGAGCAGCTGCCTTTATATAACCATAATTATCTTACAGCCCCAATTATGTATGGTATGTCCACATTAATAATAAAGACAATTAAGACGATAGCACATTCAACTTTGATGAAATGTGTACCGGCGTTCCTGACATGTTGCTAAATATTGATTTTTTTTTTTTCTTTGCTTTGCTTTGTTTCACGTGTATGAAAAATTTCAAAACCCAAAATTGATCAACAAAATCCAAATGTGGTATGCGCAATGAAACAGAGAAAACCCCTTCAAGAATATATGGAACTTTTTTTAAGCTCTGAACAAGCCCTCGAAAGGTAACTTGACATCATCCACTTCAGTACTCGGCAACACAAGCATTTGATATCGCCAAGCCAATCATCAAATACAAGTGAGGACAACAAATAAAACACATGAAAAGGAATGTATGCATCGTATTCAATGGCATATTAGAGAAAAAAATTTGTCTTAAACCTTGTGATGCATTCTTTGGTGGAGTTTGTCACAGATGGCTGCACAACCGCGCCCTCCCCCCATTGTGTCACTTACTCACATAAAAAAAAGTTTCTCTTTTTTTAATTTTGTTTTTTTTATTAAACAAGTGGCAAAAGCTTTGGCACATCCATGCAAATGATTATGTCCAATTCTCTTCTGTTTCCAACACGATCAAATTGCTTATGTCATGTTGATCAAAATGGATCTCGGCTATCATCCAAAATGGCTCAACCAGTTGACATTACGTTCCAATTTAAAACAAATGGCATCAAAACCGAAGTGGCAGGTTTACGCCACAACACGCTTCCGGACTCCACTGTTACATTGATAACATGACAAAACAACTTCACTGTCTTGTGTGTACTCAGTGAGGGCAAGACTTGTCGTTGTGATGGCGCCGGCATGTTCACCGACGACAAATATTTAGTTGCGGCTGATGTACGAAGAAATTTGACATTGTATTAATATTCGAAATTGTAAGTTACACCTCAGTGGACTGTATGTACAAGATTGACGGCAAGAGAATGGACAATGGAATGGCTCAAACCCAGAAAACAGATGAGCCGTGATTGGTCGTGATGATGTCATATTTAGTCGACAGCAAGAGTTACAAAATGGCCGCCCCCGACATGGTTTTATTTAGATCGCATGATCGCAACATTAAGAAGAATGCCGTGTTTAGACTCGTGGGCGCGATACAGATATTGAAAAGAAAAGGTTTGACTTCTACATTTTCAGAAATTAAAAAGTTTTGCCAGATAAGCGGTTAAAAGCATAACATAGACCATCATTCATCATTTTCACTGCAATTTTTAACAGTATGCGTGGAAGTGTGTGTACGAATGTAAAGTACTATATGTGTAAGTTATGGCTCACCTGTTCCATGGTGTTCAGCGAGACTCGGGGTGACTTCCAGTCGTCGCAAGCTTGTTAAAGTGGAAGAGGAGGTTTTAGCTGTGAGAGGGTGGGGAGGTCTTCACACAAACACACACACAGAGGGCACACACACACACACACACACACACACACACACACACACACACACACACACCACACACACACACACACACACACGCACACACACCGCAGGGTCAAAACACAAATGAGCTATACTTGTCAACTCACATCACTGCTTCCTTCTCTTCCTTAACTAACATTTTTTTCGCCTCTTCCCGGTAGCTCCTCTTCTCTCCCATCCGACGTGCTATTTTGGTCTCAATCATTTGATCTCACAGAAGTGGAGAACCGCTTCAATTGTTCCGTAAAATACATCCGTTTTATTTGTGTATACCTTCCATGCTCCCGTCTTTCCCTTCTTTGGAAATCTGGCCGGTTGAAGTGTGGCCTCACACTGCTTTTCCTTTGCCTCTCGCTTTGTCTGTGCTGCCTCTGCTCATCTAAATCCCTCAAGCTTTTTTTTCCTCTCTCCCGTGCTGTAGACAGCATTAGTGAGAGAACAGGATGAGGGGAAGGATCAGGGGGATCGAGTGCATGTACCATGTGACATGATAGTAAAGTGGGATTCCCAGCTGTCACACTCGCACTTGGAAAGCTTCATAAACTCCTCATGTCAATAAAGCAAACTACATGCCTCATTCTTATTGTTCCTTTCTGAGTCAAAGCACAGTATTATGTTGTGTGTGACATTGACCCGTGTTAATATTTATATAAAAGCAACAAAAAAAAATCCCTTGTTCTTTTCATTTTTTAAAAAAATATGTATTTAATTATAAATATAATTTATCTAGTACATTCCTGGTAATTAATAAATTATATTGACCTGGCAGTTAATGTTATGGAAATGCAAAATCATCTCTTGATGACCTTGTTATTTTTATCTATTTGCCAACCTACAATTTAAAATTGTTTTTACTTTTTTTTTTGTAAACTGGCACATCTCATTTACAGGAAACTGGACTCTTAAGTACTATCTAACAACGGATGGACTTTTATTGCACCGTGTATATTAAGTGGGTTTGTGGTAAGATACAAAATAAATCTGACTGAATGCAGTAGTCTGATCATGATATTGAACTGTAAAAAAAATAGCAACAACAACTCGATAAAGTCCACCACGTACACTGTATTATTCTGTCCTGAAGGAATGTGGAAAAGGACATCCTGTGGTGTTTCCCCTCAGCTGTATAGCTGGAAACTCCCACCCAACAACAACAGAAATGGCCAGACACATTTGCCACAAAGGCCCATCTCCACTATAAATGCCCATACATGTACGCTACCCCCTCAAAAAAATCTTTTTTTTTTTTCCCTGCTGTACTGTAGTTAAGTTCCTACACGACCAAGAATGTAACTTTTACCTATTGGCACAAATCGACAGTTTTTCCCCTCATATCAATAAATATGTTGTACTGTATATGCATTTGGAGTTGAATAGGTCTGATAACACTTGAAACCCGTTTCACGTAATTTATGTTAAATCGGAGCAGCGATTGTCGAGCAGAAAAAAAAGGACAGGAAGATGAATGCCGCCATCTAGTGTACAATATATATATTGCACTATTTTGTCCAATGGTTTACATAAGAAGTCAACGCAAACCTGTTTAAATGCCAGGTTCTGTGAAATAAAAACAAATGAGGTGCAGATAAATCATTGAAAACTGTGATATAAAAAAAATCAACTGAAACTAAGTAAAATCCTTGAGGGTGGAGTTAAAACTAAATAGAGAAATGACTGGGATGTTGCTGTGTTCAAAATTAACCCTAAACATTCAAACCGAAATTAAATGGGAGTCGGCACAAAACTGCCATCACTTAAACAGCCTCTGATTAACCCCAAATAAAGTTTAACTAATTTAGTAGGCTTTTCCTGACATTTTGGACAGTATTAGAGGGACCTTTTACACCTTTACAAGATAGTTCATTAATTCATTACACTCCTGCCATATCACAGGTAGATGCTTGTATTTTAATATTTATCTTATTGTTAGTAATATATGTTACCTTTGCGGTTCATCTCTAAAATTCAGAGGATCACGAATGGAGTATGCAGACGAGACTCGCTTATTGCACAAAACATTAGGTGCATTCACATACAGTAGTACATTTAAAACTTACGCATTTAAAAAGTCATTAAACATTTGAAAAAACAACGTATTAAACTTTAACCGTCCAGGACTACAAATATCTTGACAATTTGGGGTTTGTAATAAGATATAAAAGCTGATGTACGAAGAATGATGGGTAAAATCACGCTGCTATTTTAAATTATTTACATCATGACAATCAATGGGCCATCTGTATGGTCACTTATAATTAATAATCAAAGTATGTATGTGTGTGTGTGTGTGTCAGTGAGAGAGAGAGAGAGAGAGAGAGAGAGAGAGAGAGAGAGAGAGAGAGAGAGAGAGAGAGCATTTCTTATTTACCTATTCACGAATTCACATATTTGTATATACATACATAAGTAATACAGTACAGTATATTGTAATATAGATAAAATGTTAAAAAATAGTTGTGGGGAAAATATAAACAAATCAATATTCAGTAAACATTTGAAATAAATTAAGTGCCAAAGATATTTAGATATGTGGCTGTCAGCTGAGGTCGAGCATCATCATTCTTGCTTCGACGTCACAGCACGGTACATCAGGCTATCTTCACTGACCTGAATTCAGGCTCGAAATAATGCATTGCGTGCAACACCCTGTTATTTTACACCGTCACTAAGTGGTTGTATTCGTCAATTTAAATGGTTAAGACCGCACCGTTCAAATTATGGACCATCAGGGAGCATAAATAAACGCAGCTTCCCCATCACCTACGTTCAGGTTCGGCCCATTGACGTCAGTCGAGAGTCGTCGCAGTTTTTGCACTGACTGTGGCCAGTTGAGGCCGTGCGGATGGAGGCTTCCACTAATCCGTGGATCTTCGCTTCACCGAGTCGGAGCATGACCGCCGTTATTCGAACACCCTATCCTACTACCTCGATGCAAAAACATATATATATGTATACATCTTGAAATATATACAATCTTTTTAAACGTGTCGGGGTCTTTTGTGTGGAGCCCAAAGTAGGAAGGGGCGCAGAGAGCAGAGTTTCACAAGTGCGACTCCCGACCGTCAAATGGTAAGTGTTTTTTAATTAGACCGTTAATAATATCAGTCAAGTCGCTCCCCCTTTTTTTTTTACAGTGTACAACATGAGCATGTATGTTGAATTTGAATTAATTCCATAGAGCATTAAAAAAGTCAATAAAAGCCCACTAGTGTGGGTTAAGCCCAAATGATTTTAAAAAAATGTTCATATACTTGTATGTGATCGTATAGCTACTTGTTTAAAGCACAATTGGTGCCTTGAAAAAAATTGTCAAAGCTACGAAAGCCTTATGCTTACATCTTATATTAAAGGTTAGTTTATTTGCCTTAATTGTTTGCAGTGTGGTACATTGATTTACAAACGTGGTCTATAATTTAAAATGTACACAAAAAAAACGATGTAATTAGCATTTAGTTGTATTTTGGAGTCATTGTAGAGCGAGTCACCTAAATCAGCGATGGTTATAAACAACATGACGGGAGGGTTGAGTGCACACTGAGTTTATTTGTTACCTTAGTATGAGTCCTCACATCACTGCTGCCAATTAATGAAACTTCCCCAGATCAAATTAAGGTCTACCGTGAAGCTAGTGTGTGATAGTTAAAATCACGATCAATTGCGATTGTACGGTAAAAATATTCACCCGCTGATGTGACGCACTCCATATTCTAGCCACTGCTAGGTCATTATATATACTGTACTGCAATGTAATAATATACTGTATATAGCCTGTAATAAAAAGAAGAAACAAAAAAAGGCAGGCTCTGTTAAATGGGTCATTTTGACTCTCAGGAGTGTTTGGTTTTGACATCAACAGTGATTATCGAATAGGTGTTTGCTCACCTTTGATCATCACGCTGAAAAAAAACTGCATCATGCTTGTTCCACAGCAATCTTGCTTTTTTGGGAAGGGGGTAGCAGAATTTACACAGTGTGTCATTTTGCATTCACACAATACTGTCTTCTAATTAATATGCATTTGCAAACTTGTGTTCAGCTTCACATGCAGTAACAAAAGAAGCGTGTTTTCAAAATAGTGATATCATGGCACAATGTGCAGCGTAGTGTACCGTTGAGTGTTTTCGTTTTTTTATGAGCTTTGCAAATGATTTAAATCAGTCATGCTTTGTCTAATAGATGGCTTGCTCAGTGAAGCATTATGAGGGCACATGATGGCCCAGAGAGAACAGAAAGGAGGAGGTGGAAAACATGACATGTCTCTAAAATACACGAGGACCCGAGTAGACCGCAGCATAAATACAGATACTTAGCTTGCGATCCCTCCCTTCACTTATCTTGAATTATGCATACATATAGTCGGTTCTATTGAGAGACAAAAGACAATGGGTCAGATTTATAAAAGTTTGCACATCCAAAAAATGGCGCAAAGATCATCTACTAACTGTGCACAGAGGTGTCTACCAAGTGTTTCTGTTTTGCTACTTTGAAGCAATAGATCCAAAGAAATTAATGTAGCACCCAAAATGGGACATTTTAAAGACCTGAGACAAACTGCCATGGCTGATTTTGCATCCTTAGTGACTCTTAAAACCTTTTAAAGAAAGAGTCCACTTCTGAATGCTAGGTGTAAACTGGCATTGCTGTGCATAAAAGTGGCTGCGATTAGTGTGGCAAGGAGGAGACTAGAGGAGCTCAGTCTTTTTTTTTTTTTTTTTTTTACCCGTGTAACATTTTTGAAAAGCCAGAAACAAAACTATAAACCAGGGGTGCCCAATGTCTAAATGGGAGTCTAAATGTTAAGTAGCTTGTGAGCTACTAGTAGCTAGCTAAGGGAGTGTAGCTAGCTAAGGGAGTGTAGCTAACTAAGGGTATGTAGCTAGCTCGGGGAGTGTTGGTCGCTCTTATGGTATTAACTCAATTACTGCCACCCCTCTACGTTTTAAACTATTGAAATATAGCTTCCTGTCATTCACAGTGAATGAGTTACAGTAAGAGTACACTCCAGCCTTCCTCCGTTTTGAAATGTGTCACTTGACTCACATACAGGGCAGGCAGTCGACCCGTTACAGGCCTCACTGATATGGGTTCATGCAATTATACAAAGTACACCAATATATATTGTACTTATAAAGAATTCAAAGTATATTTTAAATGAATGAATAAATAAATAAAGTAGCTCACATGCCAAAAAAAGTGTATATACATTATAAACGTATCACCTACTTCACAATGCAATTTTGGAGCTTCTGAAAGATCTTAAGGCTAACACTCGGTGAAATCACCACTGATAAATGTCCTTCGTGTCTGCATTTCCTTACGTTTTGTCCATTTCAGTGCACTGTGCCAAAATTGGTGCTTCCCTCCCAGAGCGGGTTTGTGGATGTCCTTTCCTGAGTTTTGAACGCAGTGTTATGCAAGATGGGTAGATTGATCCAACTGCCATGCAAAACACAAAAAATTTGACTTATGTAGCAAAATTAGCAAAGCGATAAACTTCATTCAAATGCGATTTGGATGTCAGGAATTCGGCAAAGCTGTGAAAAAGGATCGCAAAGCAAGACTTGAAATAGCAGAGTTACAAAAACACTGTTTATGACAGAAAGGTGGTCGATGACCAAAAAAAAAAAAAAAAAAAAAATGAGGAAGATGGTCAGTGCCACCCCAAATAACCAGAAAAAAATATTATCCAAAAATACAGAACATCTGAAAAAAAAGCTCAGATGTAGCAAGAAAAAACAGAAGACCAAAACAGTAAACACATTGGTCAAAACCGAGCAGCAAAGCGCGGCAGACACAGAATGAGTCAAACAATTCCGAATACATGGAGGCAAGGAAGCAAATAATCTGACAACAGCACTTTGCCACTGAGTGCAAATATGCGACAGGTGCTCGCTCGCCTTGGCTCATCCAGACACTGCAATAACACGCAACTGAAAACAGAGGCAGGACACTTGTTCCCCCTTCAGACAAGGACTTTAACCCTTTCAGGGACAGCGGTTACTACAGTGGACAGCTTATCAGTATTTGTGCATGGTTGCAAGGGTGACACACATTTCTTGAAAGCGATCAGAACAAATGCTGTGGTGAAATAGCAATGCTAACTTTGACCCTTCCAATTACACTTCCAATTCCATCACTCTAAGCTTCATGCTATTCTTGCTTGCAGTGGTTTCCCAAATTTTCCATGGTGAAAACCATCAGACTTCCTTCATCACCAAAACTATAAGCGGTCCCCCCCACCCGCCTTTGACACCTGTTGCGCCACCTTAGTTGATCGCTCTTAGACTAAATATGCAGTACAGTATACATATTTTCATCACCAACAGTAACTATACTGTACATCAGCGAGCACACTTACTGGTAGGGTTGGGCATTGATTGAATTTGAACGATTCTGGTTCTTCGATTGGGTTGCAATTCCTCACGATTCTTGATTCTGAAAAAAACAAACAAAAAAAAAAACCTCCAACAAAAAAAAAGGTAAAAAATTCTTGAAGCATAACAGCGAGCAAGGTCAATAATCTGATGAGAGACGAGGCACCTTGGAAGTCCTTAAATGCATGGCAGGCTTGATTGGTAAACACAGAACAGGCGCGCCTGCTGGAGAGAAACACCCTTTAGTCCAGCCGGGGCCGAAAACAAAACAAAACAGACAGACATGCATTCAATTCCCGCTCCGCTATAGTGTGAATATGAGTGGGGAAACTTCGTCCGTCTCTGTTTGAGACAGACTGACAACCTGTCCAAGGTTGTCAGTCTACATTTTGTTTGAAGTCAGCTGGAACAGGTTCAAGCAGGAAATGGATGGCTAGATGATTGCATTGAGTGTGAGAAGTGTGTCTGACGTGTTTGTAAATGATATGTCATACTTAAATATTAAATACATCCAACTACAGGATCTGAAGAGAGTGTTGTCCTTCCCACCATATCCTGGGGATTACCTGCATCCAGTGGTGTATGCCTGCACAGCTGTCATGCTGCTGTGTCTGCTGGTCTCCATCATGACCTATGTAATCCATTACAGGTGATCATCAAGTCATTCTTTAAAATGATTTCAAAAAAATCATCATGAAGATTATATTTCCACTACCTTTGTCGCGACATTTTTTTTTTTCCTCCAGCGTGATCCGCATCAGCAGAAATGGATGGCACACACTCCTCAACTTTTTGTTTCACACAGGACTGACGTTCGGCGTGTTTGCCGGGGGCATTAATCAGATCAACGTTCCTTTTTTGTGTCAGATTGTAAGTTGGTTTTCCCTACTTTCTCATTGTATCGTAAACACGGATGACCGATTTGCAACAGCAGCTCAGATTGCAACATTGGCTAAAAAAAAAAAAAAATGTACCTGTATATGAAAATGTCCATAACAAGAAGCTTAATGAAAATGTTTTAAAGGTGATGTAGGTCTCCTCCCAAAGCGGTCACCTTATCGTGGTGGGTGGGGATTTGTGTGTCCCAATGATTCTAGGAGCTGTTGTCTTTGGCAATATGCCCCTGGCACAATAACCCATGGCAAATAGCTCTTAGGTGAGCGATCCGGAACAAGCACGGCTCACTGGGCCATTTACTGAATGATGAGCCCTAATTTTCATCTAATTTTTCCTGACCCAAACACGGGTCAATGGGAACGCCCTCTGAATCCAGCCCTGGAGGTGGTCCTCGATTTGCGAGTGCTTGGTGGCCTTGCCTGCATCCATGGGCCCGGTCGGACATCATCGGAAAGGGCAACATGGGTCCCCCGTTCCCATTGGCTCACCACCTGTAGGAGGAGCTAAAGGTGTCAGATGCACTGTGGACTCGGCGGCTCCAGAAGTTCCCTCTTGGGTCGTGAAACACAACCTTGCGCCGTGGGATAGGAGCCCGAGTCCGAGGTCTAGATGCTCTGACTAGATAAAGTCTGGCTTGCCTCCACATAGAGCTTGGACTCTGGTACCAGTCCTCTCGAGGGAGGTTGGACTGTAGTCCACTCTGGACTTGCCTCCAGTAAGTGGCAAACACTGAGGTTCACCCCAGTGTCCGAGAATATCAATCTGTTTGGAGTCCTTGCAGGTTGGTGCTGGAAAGTGCTCTTCCTGTGGACTCCATCGTTCTGCTGGGGTATTTTAATGCTCAAGTCAAGTTAAATTTATTCATATAGCCCTTGAGCAGAGATGTTTCTCCGTCATTCTGCAGTTTCCAGGCATAAACCGCTCAAACCAAGAAGAACCAAACTTCAACCAACCAAAACCAACAAATTTCCTTCACTTTGTGTAAGGTCCCAGTTAGAGCTGAGGTTATACTTTGGAGGTCACATGAATAGCGGAAAACATTTTTAGTGCGCGGAGCCTTTTTATATCCGATGTACCATAGATCTTTAGCAGACTTGTTAATTAAAACCCGTCCATGGCATCAATAGCCTGTTTCGCACAGTTTCAGAGACAGAACAGCAGAGCACGTTTTTATTTGCCTGTAGCGTCACCATGTCAACGCAGTCAAATCCTTTTTTTCCATTTTTTATTTCTTCAAATGGGTTGACAGTTCATTTCGAACTCATTTTTAAAAAAGCTCTTCTTTCGTTTGGTTGTCGTCAATTTGAATTTGCAATACTGTCAAAAGACATTGCTCTTGATGAGGATGACTGCTTCAGGCGCTGTAAGATTTTAGAGCGACACTTCAAGGGATGAGCCCTTGGTCTGAAGCCTATTATCACAATCTCCATCAAGTGATCTGATCTGCCTGCTCTTATCGCATTAGAAATGCAAAAGTATATTTGAGCGAGTTGTTCCATTGGAGGGGGCATGGAATAAGCAAAAGTAATTACTTCTGATCGACCTTTCACTTTAGTAGACTCAGCCCATCATCATTGGTGCAACATACGTCGACGTCACAGGGCAGAGTTACCGGATTCGATTCCAGCTCCGGCCTTCCTGTGTGGAGTACATGTTCTCCCCGTGGCTGCGTGGGTTTTCTCCGGGTACTCCGGTTTCCTCTCTACATTCCAATAACATGAATGGCAGGCTAACGGAACACTCTAAATTGTCCTTAGGCGTGAGGGTGAGCGCAAATGGTTGTTCGTCGATATGTGCGTCCCTGCAATTGGCTGACAACCGGTTCAGGGTTGCCTACGGCCCAAAGACAGCCGGGAGGGATAGGCTCCAGCATACCCGCGACCCCCATGAGGATAAGCGGATCAGAGAATGGATGGATGGATGCATATTGATAAAAATCATCACCCGCCACTGGGTTTTATCGTAGCCACATCAAAACCGACAATGTGCATCACGACTCGTAAAATAACACACTAAAACCAACCATCTGACAATGGTTACTTTTTAAATTTTGCTCCATAAACGGTGTTCTGTAGTTGCAGGTCTTCCTAAACGAAAAAGGAATCGGCTAGTAAAAGTAATTACAAAAGCTCAATGGTAGTAGAATGTCACAATGTTAGCAGTGCAGCAATGACTACAACACAGATGCCGCTCTTGCAAGCAGTGAGGTCACAGGATTCATTCAAGATGATCTTTTCTTATACTCAAATGCCATTTATGTCGATTACTCTTTTTAAAAAATATCTATCTATCTATATAATCGAAGGATTAACTGATCAGAATTTCTGGGGAATGGCGTTATTGTCGCATTCACATCTTCATCTCTCTTAAGGTTGGAATTATGCTCCAGTATGCTTCTTTGTCTACCATGCTTTGGCTGACGTTTACTGCCAGAAACATCTGTAACGATGTGTCCAAAGACCCTCTTAAGGCCCCAGGCTCAAACGGTCCCGTCCTGGCTGAAAGCAAAACGACGATTCTCAGGTACAAATTAACCACACCCCCCTCTACAGCTATTGGACAATGGCGTCCATTTTGTGTGGATTGTCACTTCAAAACAAGACACGATTGTGATACGATTGGATAATACTACATTGGCCCGAATATAAGATGGCCTTGATTATAAGACGACCCCCTCTTTTTCAAGACTCAAGTTTATAAAAAGGCTTTTTGAACACCAAATTATTTTTTATACAGAAAATAATTAGAGTACATCTGAACAAATGATTCTAACAATATATTTGAGAGAAAAAGCATGTTATTTTGTCTCATTCAAATCTAAAGTGCAATCACATTCGTAAATGAATGACTTCTGGTTTTTGAAATATAAATTACCTCATAACTTCACCTCAGCTTAACGGTTAACCTGGCCGATCTTCGACCCACTATATCTGGCGCCATCTAGCGTCGTGAATGGGTATAATGTCTAGACCCCGAATATAAGACGACCCCCACCTATTCAGTCTTATTTCAATGCAAAAAACACCGTCTTATATTCGGGCCAATATGGTAGTTACATTGCACCAACACCGGAGTTGTCCTTAAAAAAAATATTCATAATGGGTATAATGTCTAGACCCCGAATATAAGACGACCCCCACCTATTCAGTCTTATTTCAATGCAAAAAACACCGTCTTATATTCGGGCCAATATGGTCGTTACATTGCACCAACACCGGAGTTGTCATTACAAAAAATATATTCATTGCCTTTCTTCAAAATTGTCCAATAGAATCAAGGATCAGAATCATTCTGCAAATGAATAATTTTAACTCCTCCGGCCTAGCAGGTCATTTAAGGGATCCGACCGAGTATGGCACTATTATTGACGGCTTTACAATTTGAATACATAAATAAAAGGGCATAAAATGTTTTGCCTTTATTTCGAATTTCTAAACTTTTTTCCCACCTCCCTGTAGATTCTACCTTATAAGCAATGGCATACCTCTCCTAATTGTCGGAATCACGGCAGCCTTTGGAATGGAAAACTATGGTAGCAGAGATGATGCACTGTAGTAAGTATTCATTTCAAGAAAGTCATATTTTAATTCATTCGACGAAGCCCTCAGAATTGGTTTTGAATTCTTATTTTTCTATCTGGCTGTCTTTACAGTTGCTGGATGGCATGGGAACCGAGCCTGGGAGGATTCTATGCCCCCGTGAGTCTTTTGGTCTTAATCATGTTGGTGTACTTTTTGTGCACTTACATCCAACTGAGACGCCATCCCGAGAGGAAGTATGAGCTCCGAGTTTTGACGGAGGAGCAGCAGCAGTTGTCGTCCGCGGACCAGCAGTGCCACCCCGACATCGGGGCGGCGTCTGGATCTGCTGGCGAGTGTGCCGGATTTATTCCAGGTGTATCCGAGCTTTCCAATGAGCACTCGTTTAAATCGCAGCTCTGGACCACCGTTTTCACCCTGTTATTATTTCTCTCAACGTGGGCATTGGGAGCCATGGCGGTGTCTCTGGGACGTTTTTTGGACATGATCTTCAGCTGTCTATACGGCGCATTCTGCGTCACTCTCGGACTCTTTCTTCTCATCCAGCACTGTGCCAAACGTGACGATGTTTGGCACCGCTGGTGGGCTTGTTGCCCGGCCAAATCCAAGCTTGCCGAGGGACACGGCAAGAGACAAAGCCAGAGGCAGGAGCTCCATCAACCGCAGTGCCACCCGGACTCCTTATGCTTGGCCAAAAAACCGCTTCTCTCGCCGCAACTTGTGCAAAGCTTGTACCATCAAGATGCATCCTCGTTGCAAAATCTCACCCCCCGTCACGCCGCTTCCTGCTGCGTGGCGGCGATGACATCCGCCGTAGCGACGCCGGTCTCCCCTTTTAGTGAGTCAGCGCCCTCACCTTCGCGTCCCCTGGCCTTTTCCGACGAGCTCCCTCGTCCTTCCGTGCCGCTGCAGAGTTGCCTTATCGACAGAACCAAGTCCCGCTCTTTCAATCACCCGCGCCCGTGTCTCCGCGACTACCGCTCTCACGTGGCATCAAACAGCATGGATGGGAGCGTGGGTAGCTCCCAGCTCGAAATCCCTCACACCGCACACTACCTTGAGGGATCACCGGTGTCCAACAGCCAACACCCGGACCTGCAAATTTCCTGCCCGAGCCCTCACTTGGATCAGCAGCAGACATCCTGTCATAGTTTACAACACCAGACCTCTTGCCACAACATACAAGACTCGCTCACGTCAAGCCACAGCCTCCTTCTACCTTCCCATAGGATGAGCGCTTGCCAGTGGCACTTGTACAGCTCAGCGGACCAGTTTGCGACCACGAGTTGCTCCGAAATGCCGGATTCCTGCGACTTGCTGTATTCGCAAGATTTCGAGTCACCCGGCTACATGTTGAAGATAGCAGAGAAGGATAAGGAGAAACAATGTGAAGAGGAAGAGCCCAAATTTTTTCCGAGAAATACTTTGCCTCGGCAACATGTTACGATCAATCGGCGGGTGACGATTGGCAGAAACCGAAGCCTGCAAGAAGATAGTCTGTTTGCGTCGGACACGACAGGGAACATACGGACGGGACCTTGGAAGAACGAAACCACTGTGTAGGGATGTAGTTCGGGAGCCCTGGACACTCTGATTGCCCTCGGCTTTATGAAGTGAGTCCTCGACAAAAAATAATAATAATAAAATACATGGAAAAATCATACAAAAATAATTTTAATTCAAAATATTTTCTGAAAAAATATGGACTTTAAAGAAACATTAATTCAGAGTCTTGTTTCTTCCAGTTGTAAAGAGATCTGGAAAGATAGGACCACTGGTTTGAAAAAATAGGCGTAAAAGAAGCAAACTACGCCAATACAGAAAAGTGGTCTCAAAACAGAGGAGGACATTTGAGTCATCATTTATCGTCCGAGCATTACCACCCCCCCCAAAAATTTTTTCGCCATTCCTCGGGTAGAGTTGCCCTAACTGGTTTGCCACGAGGCAACAACCACAACAGCAACGCCATATTGTTGATATCAGCCACCAAAGCGTCAACAAAAAGACTTCACACCGGAAAAATTGGAACTGATGAAGCCTTTTGGATGAAAGGTAAAATGTCTTCAACAAACAAGAACAAGTCCGGCTGCCTCACTCTACGTTTGCATTGTATCTTGACTTTCGTGACTGACAAACTGCAATTGGAGTTTTCCTTTAACCCTTTGAGGGACAGCGGTTACGACAGTGCACAGCTTCTCAGACTGTCAGGTTACAGGGTGCGTGAAACGGTTTAAACTGTAGATTTTTTTTTCGATGTTTTTTTAAGTGGTGGCAGCTGCAATTTGTGAACTGCGTGACTAAGTTATCACAAATTGTCCTGATCGTGTCTATGGAAGAGAAATCAAATCACTTACCCTCAGTCCACTGTAAATAACAAATTTGAGATGCTTTTTTTTTGTTTGTTTTAGTTTCCTGTGCCATATGACATGAAAAAATCTGTGTCTTCAACGTCTTGACTTTTACAGTGGGATGACTTGAAATATCTTATCGAGTCCAGAAACATTTTGATGTGGCACACGATCTCTTCTGTGTTTCGTCCTTACGCAAAAAAATAAAAGGTCTTGTCATCCACAGTAATACCTCACTGGTCTGTTTTGAATTTAGGTTGGTTGGCAATGTTTTAGGCTGTCCTTTTATAGAAACACGCACACACACACACGCACACACATACTCCCGAGAACAGAACACTCTACACCAGTGTCACGATAGTATAGCACTCAAGACTGGTCCCGAGACCACATTTTGAAAGCCCCAAAAATCTGACTGCCTACGACTGAGGCAAAAGAGTGTTACATTAAATCTCAGCAATTCACTACTGAATTGTTAGCCAGTCTTCATGTGTGTGTGTGTGTGTGTGTGTGTGTATATATATATATATATATATATATATATATATATATATATATATATACATACATACAATGTCTAGTATTTACTAGTTTTCATATTCCTGTTTATTTAGTTTTTTTTTTTCATACAGGCAATTTTGGTCCTCCATCAGGATCTTCCCCTCCCCCCCAATGCACGCAACGCTCTTCTCCTACACCCACGGGCCACTGGCTTGAACCACTTCAGCAGCGGAGTCAGAAAAATTTATGCTGACATCCCTGATGTGAACATGACCTATTTCAAAGCCCTCCAGAAGCTTCCAGACTTGGCTGCGTTACCGCCACTTTGGACAATTGCGTATACCTGCTTAACCGGCACGTTAATGTACTGCATGTATGGACACAATGGCTTTATACAACCTTAAAACCTAAAAGCATTTTTTAACCACACCGCCGCTGTAAAATAGAGACAGAAATCCAATATGATTGGGCTCAGCTACCGGATGCCTTATCCTGCGGAGATCTTTGCCTCGGTGGAGGACTTTGTACTTCTCCCCCTCCCCGACTCCACTGCATCCACCGAGGCTCCAGCTGAGGATTTGTCAACAATTCCAGCGTGCCGACTCTTGTGTTCTGTCTGTTGCATGTACATTACTGTGATTTAATTATTCATATGATGTTTTTGTACGTTGGAGAGACCATGGGTCATAGCAACATTTTTTTTTTTTTGAGCAAGTGTAACTCAGTGGTTCTTTGCGCTAGACATCTCAAATGTTGACATGCCGTAGCCATATTTGTCCACTAGAAAGAACATACACTTGATCTCCTATTACACTATCACAGATGATGTAAATTAATCTAAACTACAAAGAGGTAAATTGTTACTACCTATCCCAGTACTAAGGTGAGTTGTAACACTACTTGAGGACAGATCTAACAATTAAACTCTGTTAAAAAACAAAAACATCCCTACTAATAAATGGACGGAAGCACTTTAATGAATAATACAGATGGAATCATATATTTGTAAAGCTACAATAATATCTAGCCATCCATCTTCTAATCCATTTATCCTCACAAGGGTCGTGGGGCGTGCCGGAGCCTATCCCAGCCGTCTTTGGGCAGTAGAGGTGGGGTTACACCCTGAACTGGTTGTCAGCCAATCGCGGGCACACATCGATATTAAACTTGATCACAAATAGAAATTTTTAAAGAAAAGTTACAATCCTCCCCATCTCAGAGGGACGAAGCTTCACCAGTCAGCTTAATTTCTAAGTGGGCAAGGACTGATTATTATTATTATTTTTATTATTATTATTATACACAATAACAGTGATTTCACAGTGTTGTGAATTTAGGTCGATTGTAAATTTTGCAATTTAGCCATTCATACAAACACACTGGTACTGCAAATACACAACACAAAACTCCTTACACAAGCACCACAAAGCTCACGTACCGGTAGTTCTCAACACACAAAATACATCTATTAGGCCTGTATGACGTTACTGCCGACAGATAAGCAATCTAAATTCAAGCACATACAATGCGAAATGCATTATTTTCATAAGATTTTTTTTTAAAACATCAAGCTCTCAATGTTTCAACACTTGTAAAAAGAAACGAGTCTCCCAACCAAAGCAAAAATAAATAAATGAATAACCACAACGTCGCGCATGCTGCCGGTATGACCGAGGATGATTCTCTCACGTGCTGCCCTCTAGTGGTTACTTTTAAATATTACTCATGTTTAGAACAGAAAAAAATGAGGACGTGGCTGAACATATACGACCCCACTTTTGGCCGAACACTGCAAAACATGTATCTGGAGAAAAAAACATCAGTGGGGACCAGACAAGGCCTTCGCTGCTGGCCTAAACACTATCAGAGGCACTGACCTACATTCAAAATTTAGATGAAATTACTATATATCAATTTATTCTCTACAGGCCACGCATCCATGATTTAAAGTGCTTTATCTTCACGAGGGTATTGCTTTCCTGGTCCAATCAAGCCAGTTCAGGGTTTAGCCCTTACGAATCACGGCCCCATTTTTTTGTCCATTTTTGAAAAACACCCTGCCCAGCGGATTTTTATCAATTCATGAAAATATCCACCTTAAAATTGTTCTTCAAAGTACCAATTAGTATGTGCCTTTTTTTTCAATCATTTATGAGAGGCGAGTGCACCTGTCCTTTACCGGCGTCATTGTCTTCAACTCCGCAGTCGTCAGGTGCGAACCGACCGCAGTTGATTTGGTTTGTTCAACCGGGAAACGTAACGCAACTCTCGGTCATGTGACCGGCAACGGTGAAACGCAGACGCATGAACGGGATTTAGTATTGGTTGCTTACTCGACCTTATTTCAGCAACAAACTTTCTCACTCACGCTTGTAAACGAGCGCATCTCGGACTTTTTCGAACAGCTGCGACTCGACTTCTCTTCCGGTTTACCCCGCCCATCCACCAGTGTTCACATACGCAGTAATTAAGCACTCCGCCTCGCATAAAAACAATAATTTAAAAAAAAGAAAAAAAAAAAGCACCTCACCTTTTATTTGTCGGGCAAAACGTCAGTCAACTTAAAAACATGGTCCAACTGAAAACCAATTAAAGCCAGACATTTTCATGAAGTTGTAAAACCCTCCCGGTCTCCCGGATCGGGTGTAAAAAAGTGTCTGACCAAAAGAGGGCGTTTGGTCGTCCTACGTAGCAACACAGGCGTTTTAAAGTTCCCGTTGTGTTTTAACAGTCTGAAATAGATATAATAGATCCCACAATAGTGGTGATCCTCTCATAAAATAATTATTTATTGCTTAATGTTAATATGTTTAATAAAAACATTGTTGAAACTCACCGTCATTGTTGGTCATTCCAATCCACCCAGTTTGAGATCTTTTCCATCTTGTTCGTCACTGTTGAAGAAAAATAACATACCAACTCTATATTTTTGCATCATTTTATGCTAATGTAAGGATCTGAAAATGATGAACAGAATTCGTATATTTTTTTTTGAGCAAGTTTCCTACTATTTACATTTTTGGATCAATGAAGTACAAAATTGTGATGGTCCTGAACACTGAACACATGTTAGGTTTAACAATTCTCATTTAATTAAAAATAAAACTATATTAGAATCAGGGACACATAAGGTATTCCAAAAAGTAAATATTGTTAAATATTTACATAACACTTTGCAATAGTTACAATATACAAATGTCCTTAGTAGGATGGATTTCTCTCACAGTCCATGAATGAAGAATCCACCCATAATTCAAATTACTTAAATGCTTAACATCTATCAAAAAAGTTCCTGAAAGTTAACCAAGTCTTTTACCTGATTTCATTATTCGTACACACTTTTAAAAAAATAATAGCCAGGAATTATTCATACACCGAGTATTCGGTTGAACTTTTTCACCCTTTGCCACAATTCAGGCTTCATATAAAGATATAAAATATGATTTTTTTTATTTTATTTTGTGAACAATCAACACTAAGTGAGACACAATAGTTCAGTGAAAATTCATTAATTTTTTTTTCCAGAAATAAAAACTGAAACGGAACACTACGGAGGACAGCCTGTCATGTTATCAGGTGACAGGTTATCATTATTGGTGCATGAAAGGGTTAAAGCAGGATTGGCATATGAAAAAAGCTTCCAACATCACGCGGAGCACTGTTTGATCAATGATATTGAAATGGCGACTATCAGACGGCTGCAAACTTACCGATTTCTCAAAGACATCCATACAAAGTCCTGGGAGAAGTTTGGCACGACACCACCTGGGAGTCAACAAAACATTTTGGAAGAAGGTGCACTTGTCAGATGAGACCAAAATTGATCAAATAATTTTGCACGCCGCACTTCTCAGTTCTTTATTTCTTTAAAAAAAAAATCTATGGTGTACATTCCGTTTTTACTTCAGAATTGTGTCCCAATTGTTCATTATTTGAAAAAATATATATATATTTTTTGTTTGAATACTTTTGTCAACCACTTTATAAATGTTTGTGTGTGTAGCTATATATTAGGGCTGTAAAAGATGAATTTTCACCTTTGGAAATTCATCTTCATTTTAGAAAGCGGTAAAAGAATATTTCACAAAACTTTGACTTCACGTTACTGACCTCTGCTCACTGAGCAGCGAAGACAGAAAGGGGGACTTTTTACGTCATTTTACATTTAAAGGTTACTCTAATGCAGGGGTGTCAAACTCACGGGCCACATTATAATTACTGTTTCCCTTGGAGGGCCGTGATGACTGAAACTATATAAAGAAGTCCAGAATAACGTTCTATTCAACTATTGTTTAAGTAACTGTAATGAGGGGTTTGGTAACAAAAAAATGCTCATGATATATCACTGATTTATTACATATGAAAACTTGAAATTTTGGTACACATTTTAGCAAGTATCATGGAAGTTGTCATCTTTTGATTTGCTTTCACGGGGCCACTTAAAACGATGTGGCGGGCCACATCTGGCCCCCGGGCCTTGACTTTGACACCCGTGCTCTAATGGCCCATTTGAGAAAGTAAAAAAAGAATTTGCACACCCTGCAAAGCGTAATTCAAATCCCATTAGTCTTTGGCATGTCATCTCAGAGCAGAGCAGACCTGAGAAATTAGGTGACGCACTTTTTGTAAGTCAGTGCTTCTTTTACCACATCTTCATGAATTACAGTGTACAACATTCACATTTCATAGACCTGTGCATGACTTAAACTCATGCGAGCTCAATTTAATTTTCCAGAAAAAGCACCAATAAAATATCCATTACAAAATAAAAAAATGTATTCACAAAGAGGAAAATGAAACGGAGTGAAAGGTGATTTAAAAAAAATAAATGTACAGCTGTTTACCCTTTGATTTCCTCTCATAGGACTGTTTACCCACACACAAAAAGGTAACGGAAAACTTTTACAAAAGCTTATTCCAGTCTCGAGTTGCCTCCATGAGATGTCGCTGGCCGTGGCCGACCCAATGTTCTTGGCTGTGAAAAACCCGACCACAGAACCAGCAGTCAAACACCACAGTCTTGGGTCGACTGCCCGATAGCGGTTCCACGACTTCGTACTTTTTTTTGGTCTTTTTCCGAAGCTTCAGTTTGAGAAGGAACCGCTCTCGGACGGAACTGTGAACAGCTCGCGGGCTCGGTTCGTTGCTTTGCAGCAGTACGCCTTCAGTCAAGAGCCCGCCTCTTAGCGTGCCGAGCTCAGCGAGCGCTTCCACCGTTTTCTGCGACAGTGACACCTTGGCGACGGCGCCTCTGTGCCGATTGATGACCTTCATGATATTGGCCACTTCGGGAATATCAGCATCTGGATGATTGAGCACCACGACGGGTTGGTATCGACGGGGGCATTTAATTTGCTGGAGACAATTGTGTGGGGCCAGTCTCAAAGTTCTTTCAACTTTTTTCGCTGTGGGACTCCAAAACACAGTCGTGTCTTTTTCAGTCTGTACTTTGTTTGCGAGCCTTCTGGGTTTGTGCGTCACGGTCGGAAGCTCGTCAAACAATACTTTCCTGCGTAGTTTTCTTCGACTCGGAGGTCGGATCGGCCTCGGGGCGAGTCGAGGCTTATCTGCTTCGCTGAGTTTGATCTTTGGTTTCAAATGAGGTGTTGCGTCTCCGACGGCGCTTTGTGCTGGATTCCGCCTGGTCGTGATCTTCAGGTTGTTGGACGGGTGCGCATTTGTTTTGCTTGACGACATCAGAAAACACTGAGTTGGAGGTGAGGTGGCCAAAAGTAACGGTTGACAACTCGAGGAGGGCGCGCCGTTTTTAAGCAGACCCGTCGTAGGGCTGACAATTTTAAATACGACTTTGTTTCCTCTTTTTTCCCTGCCGTCCAAGGACTGCGCGGCGGGTTTGATGACGAGATTATTGAGAAGCACACTCGATTTGGTTGGTGAAATGTAGCGCAGCAAAAACGTTTGACGACCGGTCTGCAAAGTGCTCTGTTTGTCAGCGGAGCTCACCGGCACGGCCAGAACAGGCCTGGCGTTTAGTGGGAGTTTTGCGCTTGCTAGCTTGAGGCCGGCGCTGCTCGGCGTTTGAACAAATGGAATTGACCTGGGCAACAAGTAGCACTTGGGCTGGGTTTTAGCGACTTTGTCTGGAGAATTATTACCCGATGCGCTAGAAAGGAGGACGGGACCGTTTAGGTTTGGGCTATTGATAAGGAAATGGTGTGGCGAGGCACCAAAACCACTTGGAAGAGAAGAAAAAACATTTGAGATTTTATCATCAGTCGCTGCCTCGGATTTTCCGATATTTTTATCTTTTAGAGGAACGGTTTCGCCAGTAGGATCGCTAGAGGTTTCAAACCCGGACTTCATGTACGAGACATTGATTTGAGGATTTGCGCAATTGGTAATTAGCTTAAAACTCGGCGCGGGTTTAGCCTGCGTCGACATGGCAGACGTTTTCTCATTAGTCTTCAAGACTAACTGCCGCGTTTCATCTTGCACTTGAAGATGATGTGCGGTCATCTTTGTTGCTTTCAAATATTCAACGTTTGAATAAAAAGATTCGGTTCTTTCCTTTTGGAGTTGCTGTGTAATGATTTCATCTGAGTGCTGTTCTACAAAACTCCCCAAATCTGATGATGTACTTTTTTTCTCCGATGGACTTTTCCATATGGGAATGAGGTCCTCCTCGATTTTGATAATATTAAAATCTTTCAGCACTGACTCTGGGTTTTCATCATCCGTATCAGTACAGTCACTGTCCTCGAAAGGTTCTGAAGACTCGGCTAATGTGAGACGAAAATGAGACGGGATGCTATTCGTTTCTGCGCCTGCTGAAAATTCGGGTATTCCATCACTTTGTTTACATGTTCGAGGCGACATAGAAAAGGCTTCCTTGGAATAATTGTGAAAAGCGAAGACTTTGTGGTTTAAAGAATTTTGTGCGGTCGTGGCGTTTTCTCCGAATGAAGCAGATGAGGTCGTCTCTGCCGCGGGATCCAAATTTGGCAAATGTTTATGACAATGACGGTAATCGTTCAAGGGTCGAATTTCAATGCTTGGGCTCTCTGGACTTTCTGAAGGGCTTGGGGAAAATCGGTAAGCATTTTCAATCGAGTTACGAAAAGGAGTCTCTTGAGGCTCGTCCAAATTGTTTCCTTTTCTGGTGAAACTAATCATCTCATCTACTGCTCCACAATTGTCAACCGTATTTTTGCAGGTTGCCTCCAGAGAAACATTTAAGGGATTATCAGTTAACGTGTCAGTCGCAAAATAAGACACTTGAGTTCCGATTTTTGAAACGCTTTCACATTTTTCCGCGTCGGACTTGCTAGCAAAGTGATTCATTTCCGAGCAGGCAGTCTGACTTGGGGAATTTTGCCTGCCCATCGGATCGAGAGAATTTGTCAGCGGGTCCGCCTCCGAAGTTGAAAACCCGTTTACAGAATGACTACCTCCCACCACAAAATCGTCACTACGATGAGGAGACTCGAGACTGCAAACCGATGTTTCTTCCTCTTCAATCTTGATTTTCACTGCCACGATATCCTCCGCTTGGATGCAAGATCCACTTCCCGGCGGAGCGGCAAAGGAATGTGATACGGAGCTCTTGCTAGGAGTTGAGTCCCCGTTTTCGACAGGGACGTCACTTTTAAAAAATGAAGACCTGGTACCCGGAGAGTCCAAATCTTCTCCTGATGAACTGTCACTGGGGCACACGTTTTGCTGTGCTACCGGTATGACTTTGAGAACGAGATGTTTTTTCCCGTCCACCATCTTAAATCCCATGACTTTGGTCGTACAGTTTGGGGGCAGAGAGATTTTATTTTTGACCATGAGAACTTTCAGTGCATTAGGATTAGTTGGCGAGCCACAACTGTCGTTGTGCAGCAACATCACCGGTGAGGATTGTTCCGCGGTCAAAGAGTTCCGATTCGCGTGGTCCTTTTTGGACGGGGTCCCGTCAAGAGTTTGCTGGACTTCCTCCGAACACATCTCCGATTTCATTCTTCCATTTTGGTTTGGTAAGATCCCTGATATACCAAATACTTTGGGTAACTTTTGTCTTTCGTGCAGCTCGGAAACATTTGTCACTAGATTTTGGACCGCCGGAGAGGAATTTCTTGGAGCCGCTCCATTTTCCAACGTCTTCCGTACGTTTGGATGGACTTGTTGGTCGCACGGAGGCTTGTCGCTCTTGTGAGCGGCGACCGTGTGTTTTTTCAGCTGACTGCTGGTGGTTGCGCAGTATTTGCAGATTTGACAAATGAAAGGCAACACAATGGCGTGCGCCTTGAGATGCTTTTGATGATCCGCTTCGTTCAAACTGACGTGGCGACATCTGGAACATTTCCAGGGACTCTCGTTATGATGATGAATGTGTTGGACAAACGTCCCGGCGTCCACCGTCGTAAACTCGCACCAGTCGCAGTGAAACTTTCCATTACGACTGTGACACATGATGTAGTGTCTCGTCAGCAAAAGCAGGGAATATTGAATCCCATCGCGGCAGAGCTCGCAGGTGACCAAAGTATTTTTGTGCTCGATCCGGTGACGTTGAAGAGCTGTAAATTCATTTGTGAAAAAGCCACACAAATCACAAGGGTAGGTGGGCAAAATCCCTTTGTGGGCCCCTCGGAAATGTTTCAGGAGATCATTGGGACTGTACGTCGAATCGTCCTTACACACAGAGCAGCCAAAGCTCAGGATGTTTCCAGAGAAAACGGCCCCTTGTTGAATTTTAAAACTGGCTCTCTTCGTGGTGGAGCCATGTTGCTTAACAGGTGATGCGCCTTGGTTGCCGTGACTACGGCGTGCTCTTTCTTTGAAAGGCGGAGAGTCTTTTACATCCTCTGCACATGACACACTGTAATTCATGGCAGAATGGGGAGGTATTTTATAGTCTTCATCCATAGCTGTGAATCTATGAGAAAAAAAACAACACGTCAATTATTTCAGGTACAAAGGGCATTTGTCACTGAGGTAGGGCCGAGTCATCACAATTTTCATCGCATTCTGTGGGTGCAAGCACGATGGCCCATCGTCAGGTTGGTCTATATATATTTTGAAATGCGTTCGTTGTTTGGGAACGTATGTGTTCATTTTCTACACCAGCGCCATATTTGTCAACTTTTATATTTTTTAAATAATTTAGCCATGCGTATGTTGAGGTTATAAAGTGAAGCCGTTATCAAACACAGGTACAGTATTTCCTGAAAATGATCGGTCATATCTGCAAGCTGATTGGCAGCATTGGTTATCAATCAAAAATGGATTCAGGGTCAATTGCAGCTCAATTCACCCGATGGCATTAACCCGACCATCTCAGAATTGTACAAAGATTGGTTTATTTGTTCATGATGATCACCCGACACCAAATCTAAATGTTTACGGACGCCGCATCAGGGAGATAAAACCGTAGAATGTTTCAAATTTCAGCCTGGAAGCCAACCTGTGCACGCCAATATCTCAGAAATTACTTGGCCAATTTTCAAAAGAAAAGTGTTGTTTTAGTATTGGGCTAAATTTAGATCACCTGACCTTTTGATCTTTACTAGGGCCTTGAGTTTCACCTCGTGGACCAAACGATGTTGAGATAAAACTTTCCTGAAATTCAATTCACCCCAAGCAGATGTGGGCATACTTATTCGGTGCACGTCACAGATTGTCCATAACGAACGCCTTGTTCGAGAGAGGCGGAGCCCGTCCAGTGGTCACCACCTGGTGGTGAATTGGTTTCGATGGTGTGGTAAGACATCGGTCTGACCTGATACACCCAAACGGTTGTTTGTCGATGTGTGCAACGCCTTCCGCCTGTAGACAGCTGGCATCGGCAAGTCAACAACTAAGCTATCACAGGGACCGGCAGAATCACGGTCGCTACACGCTACGCAAGCAACACGGTGCATTCGCTGCACTAAAATAAGTTACTCATTTTTAAAAAATGGCATTATTTGTAATTTACATATAATTGTCTCATAGTTTAAATGTGTTTTTCATTTTGATTTATATCAATAGTAAAAAAATAATAATAATAACATTTCCTGGGCTGAATTATTCCGTAAAATTTACAAATCCTTTTGATGGAATTTAATTTAAATTAAGCTCAATAGGTTTAGAATTAACCTCATTATCGATACGATTGCGGAGAAACGGACCAGCCATCTTGGCAAACACAATATCACACACACACACACACACACACGCACACGCACACATACTTACACAACCTTAGGTGAGCAGGGGGTGACAAACAGCACTGTGAGAATTTCTGAAGACAAGGAGTTGGTACAGCCCGAGTACCTGCAAGAAAACAGAAATGGACTTTTACAGTGCTATTCATGACTGACCTCAAAATGATCTGGATTTGGGGACTTTCTTTGAAAATTCTGAAAACTGCAATGTCGATACAGTGGTACCTTCGCCTTGGATGCCAAACATTTGTCAATTTTTTTTTTCACTATGACGTCTCAGGTGGGGGTTTGTAACAATAAGGTTTTATGTTGGGAGTGCAACCCCAATGCTTGTGTGAGCGCCCGCAGTATGATGCGACGGTCTTGGTGATTCCGGGACAATGACATCAGTGTGCATTATCAGCTGATCATGTAACTTCCTGGCACAAACACTGACAAACTGTTTTGAATACTGTACTACCCCGTGACAATTTTATGTCGTTGTCCAGTCAACAAAGACCGACAGCGTACCTGACAGAGACTCGTCCGATTTGTCCGACAAGTCTGGATATAATGACCTGGAAAAAGTATGGAATTTTGGAAACATTTTATGTCGTTGTCCAGTCAACAAAGACCGACAGAGACTCGTCCGATTTGTCCGAGAAGTCTGGAAATTATGACCTGGAAAAAGTACGGAATTTTGGAAATCTCAGATGTATCGGGACCCTGTTTAAAGTAGAGAATATGTATATGTCAAACTTTTGTGGCAGAATTATTTTGCGATGATGAATGTTTGCAAGACTACGTGCCAAATTATTTAAACCTATCAATGTAGTAGAGAAAAACTTTTTCATATTGACATTGTTTATTGTAAAATATTGATTACAATAAACAATGTCAATATGAAAAAGTTTTTTTAAGTAATTTTTTTTTTTAAGTAGTAATTGCTTGTTTTTCTTTGAAAAGGTCCTGGGGGAAAAAACTAATTGCAGACAAATACTCAATCGCAGTTTTGTTTGAAAAAAAAAACCCCAGAAAACTGGCATACAGTGTCATGTGCAATTTTGTTGAAATCAACACTCCCGGCTCGCACCGTGCTGGAAATGCTTCTCTGCGGACGACGTGATACCACGTAGGTTAATATGGTTACATTACCATTGAGTCGTCGTTCATACAAGGCAAGTGTAGCAAACTAAGACCAGAGCTGCCAACCCACAGAGATTCACTTCCAAAACAATGAATCTGAATTTCCATATTTAATCTGAATTTCCATATTTTCAAAATTCTGTCAACAACATTACCGTGGAAGTTTTCTCTCCTCTCTCTCTCAAATAAATTCAATTACTAGTAGAACTGCATTCATGGCTGTGACAATGTGTACTTACCTCACTAAATGAGGACATTGTAATTTCACTAATAATTCACAAAATTCTTAAAATATTTACTGATGTATACACACAAACACACACGCTCAGCCCAAGTCGTGACATGTTATTCTGCTTGGAAACTTTACTGAACAAAAACCGAACCGGGTGGAACACAGGCATTTTTTAAAGCCCATTAAGTGATTGGGAGCAGAGAAAACTAAATACACCAAAATTCACATTATTCTAGCATGCATGCGTGGATGGACATTCATTTTTGGTTGCTGCTTATTACAATTTCTAATGTGCAAAAATGCAGTGTTGCTTATTCTATATTGCTTTGGTGTCACACATCTGTATTTTCTTTCACATTTAGATTTTTTTGTAGTTGACTACAGTGATACCCATGATCATTTTGACACCGATATTCTTGATATGGGTAACCCAAGAAGGTTGACTCCCTCAATCATTTGTCATACATTATAGGACACGAGAGGAAAAACTTGACTGTTCCTCAACATGAAGAAACAATGGTTTGGCTAAGTACACACGCATATTCTCAACACAAACACACATAAACACACATTAAAAGGGCAAACTATGACAGCCTTTAAACGATAATATGATATAAATCTGTTGACTTTGCTGAGTGACTGTCGAACAAGTTTAAAAGAGGTGGGGGGCAGGGGGGTCTGCATCAGTAGAATTAAGAGCTGCACACGGAAGAGAACATTACATGACACCACTGCTAGAATGGCTGGGATATTTGTCTAAAATTCTGGCCATCGAAAATACATTAAGCCTGGAGTTTATTGATTGGTTAGTTGGCATGTAAATAAAGCCACCACCCACGCGAAGCTATACAAAGTTACGGCAAATCAAAATGTTCTTACTATTAACTTGATGGAACTTCAGGCTCGGTCCCGTCGACACGGAACATAATAAAATACGGCGACGCCGGGAAAAAACACACAGCGGCAATATTTGCCGTCCTTTTCAGCTCTGTTTGGAACCACAGCGACGGCGGCCATGACAGTCCATCCGGGTGCTTTCGTTGATGCTCTTGACGCTCAAGTAGGAGCGGATGGATATGTCTTGTCGAAAACCAAACTAGTGCTCACACCCATGTTTTTAGTGGCGAAAACTGCTCTTAAAACTTTCTCGCGAAAGTCGATCAAATAACCTCGACAAGTCATTAAACATAGTGTATCGGCGTTAACATGGCATGTGGACTACGTCATGGTCGAGCTCGTTTGTGCAGTGTTTACGGTGGAAGGAGAAGCAATGGCGGATGTACGCCATTTCCCTTTGATTTCGCCATGGCAGATTCACAATTGTCAGTCTTATTTTTTTGTTGTCTTTGGCGAAGTAAAAAAATCCTCAATTCATCTTTGCCTGTAATCTTTGGGGTTGGGTTCCATTGCTTCTCCTTCCACTGCTGTTACAGTCTATAGTTGGACTCCATTACACTTCGACCAGCACGAACCCTACGTCATTGAGACATGGCGGCCATTTTTAACTACGTCATCATCCATGCTTGAGATTTATGCAGTGCTATAGCGATTCTGGATTACCTCATACTGTCCTGTCTTTTAGGCTTTTTTGCATCACTAATTGTCGAGATAATTAAGTGATTGCAAAAATAACATTTGGAAAACCCCCACACAAATTAAGAATTAGTATTGAATTTACCAACATGCCTGTACCTCAACCTGAATGTTTTGGTATGACCTGGAATATCTGGAAATGGTGGCTGAGGAGAAAGAAGTCTGTGTGTCACAGTTTAGGCTGTTACCCCTGCGAGCAAAATCAATATGCTGTACCTCATTATACAAACCCAATTCTAACGAAGGTGGAACATTGTGTTGAACATTAAAAACAGAATACAATGATTTGCAAATCATGTTCAACCTATGTTTTATTGAAAACACTACAAATATGAGATAATGTTCAAACTGATGCAGGCTATTGTTTTGTTTTTGTTTTTTAGCAAATAAGCATTTACTTTGAATTGTATGGCTGGAACGCATTCCAAAAAAAGATGGGATAGGGTCATATTTCCCACAGTGTTACATCACCTTTTCTTTAAACAACATTCAATAAAGATTTGGGAACTGAGGACGCCAATTGTTGAAACTTTGTAGGTGGCATTTTTTTCCCCATTCTTTCTTGATGTACAACATGACAGCATTTGGGATTGGTTGTACTTAACAGTCACATACTGACTCGTGTTTAGTGGCTGCTTCCCTTGTGTGGAGTTTGGATGAGCCCCTGTACGAATGGTCTGGGATGAGTGACCATGCAGCTCAGTATGCTGTGGAGGGTGAGCGTTTGGCAGTTTTTTTTTTCCTTTGGGCTTAACCCCTTTCATGCACCCTGTCAACTGATAACAAGATAAGCTGTCCACTGGAGTAACCGCTGCCCCTAAAAGAGTTAAGGGGGGAAAACGGAGTAAAGCATATTTGTCTTTGTTTAAGATTATTGCTACCCTGGATAGAGTTCTGAGTAAAGATGATGTAGAAGTGTGTGACGCTTCGATATCTTTGTTGGAAATCGAAAAAGTGATCCAAGATCTCGACAACAACAACAGCCCAGGTAGGGATGGATTCATAACAGAGTTCTATAAAGGTTTTTTTTTTTTTTTTCTGGTCATTTGTCATCTATTTTGCCTGAATTGTTTAATTACATGGAGATTACGGAACTAGTTCCTTTTTATTTTAATGAAGGTATTGTCACATTGATTTATCAGAAAGGTGAGATGAGGCTTCTGAGCAATTACAGTCTAATCAGTCTTTTAAATATTGACAATATGATACTGGCTAAGGTTTTATGAGGTTGTCTCCAAAAGGTGTTATGCTCTAATATTTTGGACAGGCATTTTTACAGTATTCTGACAAGCAACATTTTGGATACTATTTTGAATGAAGTACTTGACTTGACACATGGATAGCTCATGTGAGATTCATTTATGCCCTTGATTTCGAGAAAGCTTTTGACATGTCATGATCCTGTTCTTGTGTGTCTCCAGCAGGTGGCAGACGAGGGCCTTTCCTTCAGTGTGCACACCTGCTGTTAATTATCGTTAGCCATGCTTTTCGGGACAAACAAACTGCCTGCGGTTTGTCGGATTATTTTGACCTTGTTGCTGCTCTTTCTCGAGTGTTTGTTTTCTAGACCTCTGGCTCCCGTCATAGTCGTTCCATTAGTTCAGCGTTTTGTAAGTATTGCCTTTGTTTAGTCATTTACTCTTGCTTTTGTTTTGTTGTGTTAATTGGACTATTGTCATTTAGTTTGGTGTGCTCAGATTAATTATTCCCTTGCCTTTTGGATTGGTCACAAATTTGTAAAAATGAATAATTAACTGACTAACGTTGAGACAGACCAATCGCGTAGATATGTGAAAACATATGAAATGAACCAAATTTGGACAGTGGGAATTTCTGCCAAGCAGTGGTGATATTCATAAATTTCTCAAAACTCAGACCATGTTTATTTCACTTTAATATATGCATAATCATTTAGAACACAATTAAATTGATGATGGTCCAAAAATGTCAAGAGCATTGACTGTTAAAACAAAACAAAAAAACCCAACAAACAAACAAACAAACAAACAAACATACAGTATGCCCATGTTACAGACTGGCGTATAGTCAAGTGACTTAGGTCATCAGCGATAAACCCCTGCACAGTGGATTCTTGTCAGAAAATAAAATTCAGCATATCCAATAAAATGTTGTGTTGCTTATCAAGTATTGTTTCAACATTAAACTCTTTATCACTGATGTTGAATGTTTTTTTTGTTTTTTTTTACTGCAATAGACAACATATTGTCACTTTGAACGGTGGTGCTTCCCAGCAACACACAATTCTACAGTTAGAGTTAGAAAGTCACTCTCTCTTTTCTTGTCTTCCAAAATTCTTGGCAGTTCCCCGGTTCTCACATGGCCCTTAAAATCGTGAATATGGTGTGATCCTTGTCGATCATTTCAGCAAGTTAATCAGTGAAAGTGGCCGTCCTAGAAAACGATCCCGGGAACAGAGTGAGATCCTTGACGTCGTCTTGCAAAAGTCAAAACAAAAGAATACGTCTGGCGAGTCAGATCTTCATGCCAAGCTTGGCTTTCTGTGGAATAAGCACAATGCGCAGACGTCCAATTTAGTGATCTGGAGTTGGAGATGGAAGTCTCAAAATCAAGGCTACAACACATTGCAAATTATCTTTGAATTCATGTAGGCGTATATTATGGAAAATGTACTTTTAATGTACTGGAGCAGTGGTGTCAAACTCATTCTTGTCGCGGGCCACAATTACGGTTTCTCTTGGAGGACCGTTATGACTGTGGATTTTGTAAAACCATATAAATGTTTAACCCCCTCCACATATTACATACACAGCGAACAACAAATAGATGGATAACTAGTTTTGACACCAGAAGTCAAGAATAATGGATTGCTCAAACATTAAAATTATTACATTATATAAGACAATTCGAAATTTTGGTTCAGACTTTAGCAAGCATCATGGAAATTGACATGCTTGAATTGCTTTCGTGGGCCACATAAAATGACGTGGCGGGCCAAATCTGGCCCCCGGGCCTTGACTTTGACACATGTGGTCTGGAGTGTCTGCCCACCCATCAAATTTGAAACTACACAACTAAAGGGCATGTGCTTGAGTCAGATACTTGGCTGCACAGATTCTCTCAACAAGTGTCACATATGTCGCTTCAGATAATGCACACTCAAGGTGGAGCGACCCTGAAATGAGGGTGTTCCCCGTCCTGCGTGAATTCTTCCAGAGACTCGAGCATCTTTTTCCAGAGGCTGTACATCGGTCAGGTGTCTCATCTCATTGCAGTTTTTGAGTAATTTCACAGCTGCTGCTGGTAAAAGTCCTCACTGATTCTTGGCTGATGGGAGAGAACGAACCCGGGGACGACTTTGGGCCACATCTGCTCACCATTGCCCAAAAGCTGGATATGTGTCCCTACCACATTACGACGACGGTAGAACATCAACATGATATCATATTATTTAATTAAAAAAAAAAAAAAAAGGATCAGCGCACTAGCTGACTTTTATTATGAAGAGCATTTCCACATGCTGATGGAGGCTTAGATCACAAACAACCACAGTCAACACAATAAAGGGCTGTGAGTGATCGATTTTGGGGGAAATTGATTATGTGTGCGCCGCACGCGCATTGCATTGCTTGGCAACCTGTTCAATCCTCACTTGCTTTGCCCCAGCTTCAAAACAATCAGTCAGAAGCACGATGTTCTGATTAACCCTTTCAGGGACAGTGGTGACTACATTCATTCATTCATTTTCCGAACCGCTTTAGCCTCACAAGGGTCGCGGGGCGTGCTGGAGCCTATCCCTGCTGTCTTTGGGCAGTAAGCGGGGGACACCCTGAACCGGTTGCCAGTCAATCGCAGGGCACATCGAAACGAACAACCATTCGCGCTCACACTCACACCTAGGGACAATTTAGAGTGTTCAATCAGCCTGCCATGCATGCTTTTGGAATGTGGAAGGCAACCGGAGTACCCGGAGAAAACCCACGCAGGCCCTGGGAGAACATGCAAACTCCACACAGGGAGGCCGGAGCTGGAATTGAACCCGGTACCTCTGCACTGTGAGGTCGACGCGCTCACCACTGGACTACCGGGCCGCCGCGGTTCCTACAGTGGACGGCTGATCATGTTATCAGGTTACAGGGTGAATTAAAGGGTTATAATGTTTGTACAGTATTTGATTTAAGTGAATGCAAAAACACACGCTCATTCAAAGTAGCCTGTAGACGAGCCTTGCACAGGTGACTGGCGATGAGCAGTAGAACTTCCGGATCGGCTACTTCAGTTCATTTCACAGTGTGAAATATTTTTCAAATGGATCTCGATGGAGTTTACGTGGTCTCATGAAAACTCGACGATCTGGAAATTGCGGCCACCCTTACGCTTGGTTCGGACCAAACATGAAATATTGCCGTCCCCCTGTGTGTCTTTCATGCACCCTATAACGTGATAAGCTGTCCACTGTTGTAACCACTGTTCCTGAAAGGGTTAAAACCGCTCGCAAATGTTATTCCATTGTTTAAAAAATAATAATCACATATTAGATAAATAAACAGGTGCTTGAATAAATGAAATACGGGTTTAAAAAAAGGGTCTACTTACAATCCCTGTAGCATGTTTGGGTTTGACACTGTAGGAAGCTCGCTCCTTAGCTTGTCGGAAACATTCCTCTGCCACTCTGAGCCTGAAAGTTGTGTGATATATTGATTGATGTAAAAGAATATATAGATATCTCTAAACTGTAGAATCTCCGTGATATTTTTCCATTTTTACAACAATTTTGGATTTTCAGGTATCCAACGAGTGCAGCATATTTACCTCTCCTTCAGAATCGATTTGTTTTCCTTCTTCCACAGGTCCTTAAAGTCAGAGGAAAACTCATACCAGATCGAGAAAATAGTGTTTGGCGAAACCTCCTTCTCCCCTGCCTTTGCCTTCACCGAGTAGAATACTGTGAGCTCTAGGAACCTGTCAAAACAACAGGATTTTAATTACGAGAAATAGTTAACTGGAAAATGTTGATCTCGCGTTCCCAGGTTTGATCATCATTCAACCTCCAGTTATGGTGAGGGTCAAACTGAAAAAAAGCGATAGAATGACTGCTGGCTTTTTTTTTTTATTCTTCTCTTCTTTTATTATGTAATTGATTTACTCAAATATTAAAATTAAATACTGTAGTTCATAATAATGTTTGGTGTACTGTATTCATTACAGAGCTGCTGCTGGTTTCTCTGTGGTGTCAAACTGACCCACTTCAAATAAAAATTATTTTAAAAATCATTCACAAAAAAACACGGAATTTTTATTTTGATGATTGAACGTAACTGGTAAGAAGAAGAAAAAAAAAAAACAGAACACTATTTGACTGTCCCTGCTGGACAGTCCCGGGGCGCTTATGTTTTTTGTGCCTGTCATGAGCAGCATTTTCCACAGCCCTGTTTTGTTCAGCGGAGATGTTGCCGCTGTTGAACAGTCTGGTTGGCTGCTGAAGCTGAGGATGAGGAGAGAGGAGCGTCGGTGCGGAGCGCGGAATGCGTATTTGGAACTGAGAGTCACCGCTTGGAAATGAAGCGGATTTACATGGGACAGGAAATGAGAGCCAATCTCTTTTTCGTTAATGGACGCTACAGCTTCTTGTGCACATATTGAGCATGACATCTCTGATCCACTGGTGAAAGGACACTTTGATTCTCTCCTCTTTCATCTAGAACTGTTTCAAATAACAATGTGTATGCAGGAAAAGTGGTTAAAATTACATGACTGTCTGGGTCTTATGTTATGTGTTATGTTATATTGTTTTTGTTATTTTATGTTGACTGTTCTGTGAAGCACTTTGTTACCGATGCAGCTGTTGTGAAAGCGCTCTATGAATAAAGATGTGTTGTATTGTATTGTAAAGTTACATCACACTCTCGGGAATGAAGGCATCTGTGTTTGCGAAACTGTATTCCAATGTCAGTATGATTTAATTTACGCGCAATACTGACCATGCACTGAATGATATATGCAAACTCTCACGTTACTAGTTCAACACTATTATAAATGGCAATCCGATATGGGCTTGTCAATACTTACAGTTTGTGTGTGCTGCTGAGATGAGTTTCCAATGCTTCAAGCTCATGTTTCGCTACGGAAGAACAATGCATAAGACTTATTGTGAATTATAAAATACGATATACTGTAACACATTATTCTTTACATTCTCATTTCATGCAGCTTCACGTGACATCAAGTCAAGTCAACTTCATTGTCAAATGTGCTACATGTGCAACATACAGCACAGATTACATTTTATTCCTCTCAACCACAGGAGAGAGAGGAGCCGCTGCGGGTGCCCGCGCCGCCATCATGTGGTCACTTGCCTCGTGGGGCCGTGTGTCAAGTGTGGTCATTCATGTGAGGGCATTTATTTTGACATTATTGAGTTCATGATTATGATTATGATGGCTTTTGTTATTATCCATCCAACCAAGCATTCTGGGGACTGTAGTTTATGAAAATAATTGGCGTCAGCTTTGAAATATCATCAAAGGTAAAAACGCAACGCTTAAAACACAGTCTGTTCTTAATACCTTCTAAAATAAAATCATCCATCTTGTCCTTGAAAGGCTGTAGGTTATCTTCAATGGAAGCTTTGCACACTCGTTCCACCTCTGAGGTACATGCTGGGGGGTGGAAAAAAAATATTTGCATGATGAAATTGGAAGACCTTTATAAAGTAGACCACGTTGTAAAGCTTAACTGTGAAATACAAGTTTACATCGAAGGTCTTTTCTGAGTCGAGTCAGGTCTTTCTGAAAGTCTTCGAATTTCATCTGGGAAGTCTGGAACAACTCATGAGGCTCAGGGAGAGGATAAACACAAGTGTCTTTTCCAGCATCCTGCAGGGACACGTGGAAATGAACCCACAAAGCACATAACTGTTTGCTCTGCCAATAAAATGAGATCATATTTAAAAAAAGAAAAATTCAGGTGAAACATTAAATTCTCATTTTAAATTACAGACAGCTACTAGAGAGAGAACATTGCTTTTATACACAAAAGTCCTTTTTATGAGAAGTTTTACCTGATCAGCTGTATCCTTGCTTCAAGGAAATCATGATAAGCAAACATTCTCCAGTGCTTCCTGTCATTTTTTTATCTTTCCAGGCACAAATATTTTCCAAGATGGATGACAATTTCAACTCGGTCTCATATGGTCTAAAATAGTTTTTAAGGCCACGTTTTTTTTTCTGAGCTTTATTTTACTCAGCAACGAAGCTTACCATAGTTCTGTTGTGAAGAAAACTTTATCTGCTCATCTTCCCAGACATACAAACGAATTTGAGCAATTCCGTGGAGCTAATGTCATGAACAGGTCATGCATAGATTTTCTTCCCGGACATGCTCATTAATCATCATTTGATGTAACACATGATGGCAGCAGTAGAATGAACTCAAAAGTCGATGAAAAACATTTTAAGGCCCTATTTTAGTAGAGAGCGTTTGTGAGCTTGTCTTCAAAACTGCCACAATTTGAGTTTCTCTCGCAGCAAGTCTAGTTTATCGTGTTTGAAAATTTGGCAGATGACACTGCGCCCTACTAAAGGTTCCAGCGGACTGGGGGCGTTTTCTTTTACACCCCCCCCCACCCCCCATCGCAAATGGCAAAATGGTGACTCAAATTAGACTATATCTTAGACCACCTTGGAGCAGGTCTAAGTTGTGGCACAGGTGGTGTAACACGATTTGGGCGGATTTTGATCAAAGTGAAGGCAAAGAGATTCTGATCTATGTAATACTGGCAACAATAATTTTGAGAAATCACAGAACTGTTAATAAAATGTCATATGAAGTGTAAAATCTCACCTCATCAAAATTCCTTAGATAGTATGCAACTATGTAACACAGAAGACTTTTCATGCTGTCCTGTATGTGGAGAAGAAAAACAAAACAGGCAGTTACAGGTATTCTGTGAATTCTGATGGCTATGGCTTCTCATTAAAACATATCGGATTACTCATAACACCGTCAGTCTCTGTATATGTATTTTTGTTTACTCACACTGCTCTTGACATCTTTGAGTTTGGGAAGGATGTCAAGACTGAAGCCATCAGCTTGGCCTCTTGTGCGATTTCCTCCATTCATAAAGTTGCCAAAAGCCAGCACCAGACCAAGAATCTGCTTCACCTTTTCACTGTCTTGTAATACCTATGCAAGAAATGATATCATTTTCAACACATAAAGGGAGGGGTGGTGTTCTCGTCATTCATATTTGATACAACAGTTGACCATTATTGTGTTATTCCAGGAAGATGGTCATGTCAGACTTCATAGATGAGAAACTATTCCCCCAACCATAAACATACACAAGATGGAGAAATTGATTGCATTTGTTGTATTTTCACTGGTGAAGGCAGCACTTCATCGCCATTATACTTTGTGACAATATGCGTTATCATGTCCCGCTTATCAGACGCTAATACTCGCTGTCAAGTCACGGGCAGAGACGGAACTCTGTGTGTGGCCGATATTATGTAAATAAATAAATAAATGATTTAAAAAAAAAAAAAGATATTTACATTGCAACTCGGTAAAATTCTGAACACCTTGCTGACAGACACATGACTTCACAAGACATTTAGTTAGTTGTAGGGCAGGTACAATTTCCCACACGTCCCAGTTTTTATATCACCTAAATAGTGACGCTATGATTCAATTGTGTTGTTGGAAGGAGGGAGATTAATTCACCTTGCATACACTCAGCAGCGTATCCAGTTTCTTCATCAAAGAGGACATGCACTCAGAAAAGCTAGACTGGAAGAGGATACAAAAGACTCGACCAGAAAAGCTGGGGATCTGGGAGAGCTGGTAGAGAAACCTGGCACAACAACCAAAAAGAATAAAAAAACCCTAGAGAAATGTTAAATTTTAATACTGAAGTGTCAGGACCATAGCACCAACTCACTGTTCAGGTTTGTCCAGAGGTTTCGCATTCTCCTTGTCTTTAGTGGATTTAATGTGTTTTTCAATCTTGTCCAGTTCCTCTGGCAGCGCCCTCTGCGGAATACACATCCGGGTATCTGAGTGACTATTTGGCCAAACATATCATTTTATCCACAAATCCACCCATTCATCTGTCCTTATGAAAACAATTTCACACGGCACTTAGCAATGTGCGGCGCCCCGTCGACAAACCCATCATTGTATATGCGCTGCAAAAGCGCAAGGACAGAATACCGTTTCACGGCACACCGCCATGCGCAAGGTGGCCATTGATGCGCCCTTGAGTTGAAGAATGTTCAACTCATGGACGGCAGCATAGCGAGCTCAGAAGACGCATCCAATCAGGAGAGCGACTGACATGATGATTTCGCATTGCTAACAGCGGGAGAACCATCTCTCTTTTCCTGGTAGGCTACTCTGCAAGCACTTCAAAATATGGGGCAATCTTGCCCTGGGACAATGTCATCCTTCTGAGTGAATCTAAGGAAAACCGAGGGCAATGCTACAAGGCCTTGAAAGCCTCAGATGAACAGGAACCTCTCCCAACTGAATGTGGGTGAGAGTCGGGGCCACACCCTTGACTCAATGGCATTGGTCTGTAAGATAAAGCTGGAATATAGGAGTAGATAACCCAGCAAGAGATAGGAAGGTACAATAGACGGACGGTCGGTCGGATTGACGGTCGGTTGGACAGACAGTCGGTCGGCCAGTTAGTCGGTCGGTCGATCGGTCGGCCGGCCGGTCGGTCGGACGGAGGGACAGAAAACTTGATTTGTGTACTTTGTATATGTAACTTACATTTTCATAAAGGGCCTGAATGGTCTCCAGGTCAACGATCGTGTTGTCCAAGTTCAAGACGGCTGCAGAAAATGTAAAAAAAATAGTGTTGAAACATGAGTGAAAGTTAACCCGAAATCCAAACAAACTCACCATGTTGGATGTCTTTCATATCAAGGTGTAGCGAGGACATCAGGATTCCGACAGCCTGAGAGCGTTTGTTGCTTAGGAGCTTGACAACCTAAGAGAAGCAGTCGACATGAGTTTATTGGCTTTCGTCATTGACATTACATTTTGTGGATTGTTTTGGGGTATTCTGAAACTCAGAATATGTTGGATGACATTAATGGAAACATGATGCATTTCTTGACAACTAAAAAACATGTCTGCTCAAATATCAACAACTATTAATGGCTTTATTTGAACGTCTATTTTTGATACATAACCAGCGACAAGAGTAACTCCTTCAAACGTGGAACACAAAGTCTCAACTCTCAACCTGGAATGGTGTCCACAGTCTATGCTAGCAGAATGCTAGCTGTGTGCCATCGGCTGGACAAGGTGTCGATGACAAACAACACCTTGCAGTCTTGGCATTTAGAACTGCAAAATGAGCGCCAACCCTCGTATTTCTATGGATCACGGAAGTGCATGGCTTATGTGTCAAACTCAAGGCCCGGGGGCCAGATCTGTCCCGCCACATCATTTTATGTGGTCCATGAAAGCAAATCAAAGATGTCAACTTCCACGATGCTTAATAAAATCACTACCAAAAATGTTCATATGCCATAAATGAAAGAGACATCGTCAGCATTTTTTTTTTTGGTTACCAAACCTCTCAGAATAAACTGTTATACTTAACTTCTTTCGATGGTTTCAGTCTGTCAGAGTTTTTCTCGGACAAAGTTAAAGAAATGACTCGGCGCACAGGGAAAATTGTCTTCAATATCGACAGGAGTGGATCTCTGAGAGCGAACGACAGTTTAGTTACTCCGTGATCACACTTAGAGCCCCCCCTCCGCGAGTTCGAACTTTTATTGTAACATATGCAAAATACAAGAAAAACACTGCCCCCGATATTTGCATACCGCACCCCCGGTCCGGCCCCTCGGTAGTGATTGGTTACCTGGGTTTAAGCTTTGAACCACTGGTACGTTGGCGCCTTTCTGTCTGGTCTACATTGAATCAACATGTTGCAGTCTTTGCGGACGACAAATGTCGCTTGGGCGCGACGGGTGTTCTCGAATCGTCTTTTGTTGTTCAACCGCTGTTCCCGAATTATTCATTCCCCCTTTGTGACCGAGTCTAGCCCTCTGTCCTCTGATCGCCCACCTGCATTGACGTGCTAATTGTGGACTTCAACAGCCCTCCGGACAGGTGGCCGGCGCCTTTGTGCACAGGCATTTGGAGGTGCTGGATACGCACCCAAACGTTTAGACGTGCCCAAATTAAATGAAACTTTAAACATGATACAATTTTGCTCATAGATTCCTCTAACACAGTCATAACAGACCTACAAGGAAACGGTAACTAAAATGGGGCCCATGACAAAAATGTGACATGACATGTCTGGCTTAAGTCAACGCTTGGCATCGGCTCCATTTTTTTGTCACCATAGTTGCATAACTCATTGTCACATTCGTAGCGAGTTACAACTACTAGCGAAGTCTGTGGTTGTGGCTGAGATGCCCTGGTGTCATGAAACTATTCAGTCAAGACCCCTGGAGAGGAAATTTAAATGTATACCTGTTTGGCTTTAGACTTGGTGATTGTGTCGGAGAGTGGCTGCTTTTTCTCCTTGACGGCTGTTTTGGAAAACAACTCTACAAACTCCTTAAAGTCCACATCAGGCTCCTCTATCGTCTCCCACACCGATGCCGACGATATTTCCCTAATAAGAAAAGAGAAGAATATACTGTTTCTATTTGAAAGCACAACCAAATTATAAAGCCGGTGCAACCTCCAAAGTCTAATGTCTGAAAGGGGTTCATCTTCCAAACTGAAAAGTTCATTTTGAACAGTACAGATCCTACAAAATAACAACAAAGCCTAAGAGGTGCTCTTCTGTACGTATTCACTGTATGAAACAAGCGTTGCTCGTTTTATGTTAATTTGATTATGTCACATAGTTATTAACTGCTGACTTTAAAAGAAGTGTTAATTATCCTGCAACATTTGCTTCTCTGGTACACTAAAAATATTAGAGGGTGACCAGTTGCCAAACAGGAAGATTACGAAAGAAAAATGCTGCTTCGTTAGTAAAGCGTTGATGATTGTTCGAGCTGGAAAGAATTCATTCGTTTGAATTGTTTCGATGAAAATATGTGAAACTAGAACAATTTGGAAAATTAATTAACATTACAGAATAGACTGTGTGAGGTAACGCTACACATGTTATTTTCAGCCATTTGTATGTAGACTACAGTAACAATACCCATTTACTTTTTAGTGTGCAACTGGATTCTGGTCCAATACAATGGCTTCATGGGTCTGGGAGGCTCCACCACTGCTTTCCTGGGTTTCTTCTCCTGGGTAAGGCCCAGCGTGTATAGCCCCAAAGGCAGAGGAGGAGGCAAGGAGCCCAGAACTCCCGACGGAGCTGGAGGAATGCAGATCGTACCGGGTGGAGGAGGAGGTCGGGGAGGCCCACAATAATGGGGAGGATTGGCACTGGGCCCACCGGGGAGTGGAGGAGGTGGGGGTGGAGCAAGACCGCCAGGGAGAGGTGGAGGAGGAGGTGGGGGTGGAGCTGGTCCACCGGGGAGAGGAGGAGGTGGGGGTGGAGCTGATTGACCAGGGAGAGGAGGAGGAGGTGGTGGTGGTGGTGGAGCAGGTCCACCGGGGAGAGGTGGCGGAGGGGGCAGTGGAGCAGCACCGCCAGGGACAGGAGGAGGTTGGGGTGGAACTGGACCACCAGGAAGAGGAGGAGGAGGTGGCGGGGCATGTCCACCTGGGAGAGGAGGAGGAGGTGGTGGAGGTGGTGGTGGTGGTTGTGGTATTGAACCTACTGGCAAGGGTGGAGCAGGTGGCGCCACAGGAACTGCTATCTGTACGGGCAAAGGAAGAGACGGCCCACCCGGAAGCGTGGGCAGGGGTTGCTGCTGACATGAACATTGGCTAAATGGGATTTGCAGGGAATTATTGACTCCACTTGGCTCACTGTAAGGCACTTTAAACTTAAAGCTGTCATCCATCGGCGATGTTTGCACCGATTTGGCTTCCAAGGAGCACAGAAAGTGATCTGCTTCAGTCTGAAAGTGAGCATCAGACACTTCCCTCAAAAGGCCTTCCATTCCAACACAGTCCTTGGCTGTTTTGATGTCTATGTCCAGCAGAGGGGGCTGCCGCTCCAGCTCAGCAATTTTACTCCTGAGATCTTCAATGGTTTGCTCCAGTTGTTGGATGACATTGACGTGTTTTTCCTTCAGTTTCACTGTTTTCAGCAAAACCTCCTCCTGAAAAAAGGGGAAAGGTGGGGTGAAATTATAAACAAAAAAAAAATGCCATACAAATGAGGAGCTCTTCTGTCAGGAGTTACATGTTCTACCTGTAACTGTTTATCCCATGTGACAAAACTTGTACTTACACCCTGGACTGGTCGCCAGCTAGTACCATGAAATTGTGAACAGCACATTGAGCTAGAATCGAACTGAAGACTACCAAACTGAGAGCTTATGTGACTTACCTGACAATTTTGGCTCTCATTTGGTTGCTGTCGCAAACCCAAGATGCCTGTATGATATTCTGATGAGATGGAGAAACAACCAGTTGAGAATGTCACAATCCAGCACAGGCGCCAATCACAATAAAATTTGAAATTCACACAAAAAAAAAAATCGCTATATACAGCGGTTACTACAGTGGACAACTTATCATGTTATCAGGTTACAGGTTATCATTATTGGTGCGTGAAAGGGTTAATATTATCAATGGAGTTGCCAATCAAACCACAGCCAAATAAAAATGTTTTACCATCGGACAATACATATCGTGCACAGAGGTGTCCGTCCTTACCCGGATCTGCGGCTTTGACTCCAGTATTGTCTCCATTAGGCCTGGAGTCTTTCAGATAACCTGGTTGCTTCCCCTCAAGAGGATCAAGAGAAATGGTTGGCTGGTTAACAGCTGCCCACGTATACAGCTGGTCGTGCTGTGGAAACATATTATTCAATTTATTCATCTTCTGAATCGCTTATTCTCATCAGGGTAGCGGGTGTGCTGGAGCCGGACCAAGCTGTCTTCAGCCGGTAGGCGGGCTACATCCTAAAGTTATTGTGTCATGTGATTACATCGAAGTACGACTATGCAAATGCAGTTTTTCGACAAAAAAATCCACTTTTGCAGCAACATACATGGAATTTGGGTGATCCGATAGAGTTGATATGTGCAGGGTTGGCTCCTAGTCGCTGTCTGAAGCAGTCTGTGAAAGGCAGAAGAAGACCCATTGCTAATATTCTGGAGCAGAGCCTCTCAGCTTCCTCCGGCTCCTCCTGTTGCTGTTGATGGAATAGTTTCTCCAGGAGAGTTCGACCTGGACGTTGAGAAAGTCAGTTAATTAGAAATAATTTGACTGTTAATACATAATACTTTTCAAATGATGAGCCCCTGTTGAACCTTTAATTTGGAACACGTTTTATTAAGTTTAAATTGCGTTAGGGACACTTTCCATTCAGTCATATCTTTAACCCTTGATCAATGTGACCCACTGCATGTTTGAACACTGAAAAAAAAAAAACTGAACAGTAAAATGTTGCAATACATACATAAATCACTGTTAAAGTTGACTTTGACAAAGCCTGGCTGCCTACAATCAGATTAATCAGTGGCTGGATTATTTTAACTGCAGCACTTTGTTTGTTGGTGTCCTGCTTGTTTTGTTGAATGCTAATCCGGAGGCCTTCAATTTTCCTTCAAGGACAAATAATTGAATTTGAATTGAATTGAAACATTGACGTGGATAGAAAAAGACACTGATTTCATTAAAATTATGTAACGATACACAGAATATGATGTCGGCAGAATGGATTGGTCCCATGTGGTGAGTACATCAGCTCCACAACAAGCTTTCAACGTTGGCTTGTACTTTGCAATGTGGTGTTTGCATCCTCTCCAGTTGCGCCACAATGCTACATTAACCCTTTCAGGGACAGCTTATCACGTTATAAATAAATTCTAATGATGAAATCTATCCACTCATCAGCGGTTACGACAGTGGACAGCTTATCATGTTATAAATAAATCCTAATGATGAAATCTATCCACTCATCCATTTTCAACACTGCTTATCCTGAACAGAAATAAAAAATATTTGCGCGGAACGTTGCCTAAGCAATCACCTGTAAAGACATCTTGGAAGCTGCATGCAGCAATTTGTCCACATGAAGATCTCCTTGTTGCACAAAGGGGTTGGCTTCCCCCACCTCTGTACCTGTAGGCTTCTAAATCTCCAGACTCGCCATTGTTGAGCTTGCACCTCATTTTCCTCTCGAGCTCTTCTGTCCAGTCAGCTGAGCGACTCAGGGGACCAGCATTGCTTCGGGAGTCCTGTTTCGTGACTTGCTGATCGCCAGCCATCATCCTGAGAGCAAAAACTTCCAATGTGTTTGATTGATAGTTACTGCCATCATAAGAAAGCTAGGAAAATATAATATGCTTTAATTACATCCCTCCTTCTTGCGAGAAGTATTCCGGAAGTCATTTCGGTTTTCGGGTCAATCCTACAGATTCTCAATGTGATTTTAGGACTGATTATGGGATAGTTCTGATGATGTGACGTGTATTTGTGCAATACTTGAATTGTGAATCAATAGTGGGTTTTTTTTCCCCCCAAATTTAGGTGCATCTTTTGCCTTGGTCATACTTAAGTCCCCCCACATTCATCCATCCATTGTCTCACTAGGACCTGAACTGGAAATGGGTACCGCTGTACTTTCCCACAACAGCGGCACCTCATTATTTTCACCTTTGTTCGAGAGGTTACAGTTTCAATGCTTTTTGTTAGTTAGCAGCTAACTCAGCTAACAGTTCCCATTCACTATTTAAAAAAAAAATTTTTTTTCGCTGTTCAGGGGTCAAAAAAGTCCCAAATATTTTTGCTTTGTTGGCAACACCGCTTCAAACTATGAAAACAATATTATTATTATCATGTATATATTATTATATATTATGCATATTACTATATTATATGTATATATTATTATAATATATGATTATTTTAATATTATATTATTATTTTAAATTGTGAAAAAAAATGTATGTCTCATTAACATTTTTGCTCATATCAACATTCGTTTTGACAATCATGACCGCAAATCATCCTGTTAAAAGAACACCCATCCAAACTTAACCGTAGTTACCTTTGGAAATGTTGATGAGCTCTTCTTGGCGACATGGGGCTAAGGGAAGGAGACAGAGCCGGGGAATGTCCTGGCGAGCTGAGTTGTCTGGTGGTGGTCTTGATGTACGAAGGTAAAACAGGAGGGTACGGTTTCACCGCGGGGTTTGAGGGGGAAATGGCCTGGTTGGACCTGTGGATGTGTTTGGCTAATGTGGGGCTTCCTTGGGATGGTGTAAAGCAAACACTGCTCCTCCTGGAGGGGGAAGTATTGGCAGCAGCAGCAGGAGGAGCGATGTGGTTACTTTCTGATCCAATACTCAAGCAGTCTTCAAGTGACTCAGCGCTCGCAACTTCTTCACACACGTTCCCTGAAATAAGTGCTACCATGGCAACGCTGCTTTTTCTGTGGCCGTCTTCAAGCGCTGGACTCAGAGCTTCATTCGCGCCAGGCTCCTGCAGCTCCTCAATCTGGTTTTCGCCTCCCGCTTCCTGCTCCCGCGCTTGTGTACCGTCCAATGTGAAATTGGGGAAGTTGCTTCCAGTTGCCGTAGTAACTGCTTTGACTGTAGCCCCCTTGTCCAGAGCGATGGCTGTGGGCGGGAACTGCTGCGTCCAGACGTGCTGGTCTTTTGTAACTTCAGGACCACTCGCGGGGGACTTTCTCGCCTTCTCCTCCTTCCCATTGAGCTCTTGAATCCCGTCCATTTCCTTCTCTCCATTTTCCCTCCCCTCGGATTTCTCTATAGGGGACAAGAAGTGGACCGGTAATTCTTCTGGTTTCTCAGTCTGCTGGTCCGTAACCAACAAGGTTCCGACTTCCAGGAAAGACAGCGCATCTGAGCCGAGCTCTAATTCCGGCGTCAGGTCGAGTGTTTCGATGGGGGGTAATTTCCCAACTCCGTTACTTTGCAGTCTCTTTGCCTCTGCTCCACAGTTAACACTGCTTTCACCTTGTACCTGGGACCCACCCGCCGTATCAAGCCCCTCACATTGCTGTTGGAGCCTGATAGCCAGCTGGATGTCTGCGAGCAAATCATCATGATCGGCCGCCGAGTGGAAGCTGTAAATGTCCGTGTCAGACCCAGAACTCCCTCCTTTGGGTCCTCCATCCTCTGTGGGCGAGGCAGTTTTCGCCGCTCCCGTTTCTGCTGCAATCCCCGCCCGCGCTTCGCATTCGCTTCCACCTTGTTGTTTCTTTTTGGTTTCCAGGAAGCCCGGTTCAGCGTCCGATTGCCCGAGCTCATCTGCGGACAGATCAGGCGTTTTCGAGTTAGCTCGCTCGTCGCGTTGCAACGCGAGCACGTCTTCACTCGAGCATGCATCTTTACCTTTGTGATGAGCCTTCCTCTTCCGAATCGAAAAAACAGAGGACTTGGACTCGCATTTGTTTTTCTTCTTGGCTGGACCAGTGCCATGTGTTCTTCCTCCTACCCCGTCTCCTCCTCCTCCTCCTCCTCCTCTAGCGTTGCTTGTCCCTTTACTTTCATTCTTACCGTGATGTTTCTTTCCACCCCGCCTTGTCACATCCCCTCCTCCCTCGCTCCATCCCTCTTCAAATGAAGGGTGGCCACCATTACTGGATGCCGCTGCAGATTTTTTTTGTTTGGCTTCCTGGTTGCCCATGTTGCCTGAGATTTTCAGGAGGTAGAGGTCCTCTCCCTGGTGATTTGATCCCGAGGACAGGTACAAGCAATTTAGTCGCTGGTGAATGAAAAGCTACCGGAGGATTGTCATGATCGATCTAGAAATCTTTGTCGTGTGGTGATTCCGACAAGATTAACACTCGCTTCTGGTCGCCGTGGCTCTATGTTGATGCTGATTCAGGAGAGACGGAGCTATTGCCCACCCCCACCTCACCCCCTCCGG